CTCCAGCCTGGGTGACAGAGTGAGACTCCAACTCAATAAACAAACAAACAAGCAATTTAATAAAGCAGTTTTCTTGAATGCTGTCTTGCATTGGCTCTCTTATTGGCTCTCTTGCAAAGTAGGTCCCATAATAGAGATCCCCGAAGGCTGGTTTACTTCCAGACTTCTGTGGTTAATTCCATACGCTTGAGTGTTGGGAGAACTGGGGACAAAAGTTTTCACCTTCAAACAGAAATAACCTAAGGCATCTTTGGGTGGTCAATCCACCAAGCTGGTTGGTAGACCAGGCCTGCTCACACATGTGCACCTACGTGTTGGTAGGCCTTGCCATTTGACTGTCGTGCCCCTGTGAGGTGTAACGTTTGCTGAAATCCTTAACCATGAATGTTCCTCAGAGGTAAATGTCCTCGTGTGTATTTCTTCTTGAAGAATCTTCTTCCATACAAACGGTAGTTCACAAACAAGAAGTCCCATCTCACTGAAGTTGCAGGAATATCTGCTGTAGATAAAAGATACTCTTGGCTGGGCTTGGTGGCTCAGCCTATAATCCCAGCACTTTGGGAAGCTGAGGCGAGTAGACTGCTTGAGCCCGCAGGTTCAAGACCAGCTCAGGCAACTTGGCAAGACCTTTTCTCTACAATAAATAAAAAATTAGCTGGATGTGGTATCTTACACCTGTAGTTCCAGCTACTTGGAAGGCTGAGGCGGAAGGATGGCCGGAACCCAGCAGGTCGACACTGGGGTGGCCATGAGTGTGCCACTGCACTCCAGCCTAGGCAACAGAGTGAGACTCGAAAAAAAAAAAAAAAAAAAAAAAAAAAAAGGCTACTCTCCAAGCACTGTAATCCCAGCACTTAGGGAGTGCTAGAGCAGGAGTATTTCTGGAGCCCAGGAGTTCGAGATCAGCCTGGGCAACATAGTGAGACCTCGTCTCTATTAAAAAAAAAATCAAAAAAATTAGCTGGGTGTGGTAGTGCACGACTGTAGTCCCTAAGGAGGCTGAGGTAGAAGGATTGTCTGAGCCCTGAGGTTGAAGCTGTGGTCGCCATGATTGTGCCACAGAACTCCAACCTGGGTGACAGAGACCCCAACTCAAAAAAAAGGGGGTACTCATATTTCCATGGGATCAGAACCACCTGAAAAACTAGTAAAAAGATAAGATACTCAGGCTCCATTCCCAACCTACTCAGTCGGAATTTACAGGGTTGGACCCCAGTATGGGTCTTTTTCCCAAGCTTCCCAACCTGCTTCCATTACCCTTCAAAGATTGAGAAACACTAGCTAGGGCCATGGAACAACTTGGTGATGCACCAGAGTGGAAAATTCAAGTACAGATCCAAATTGAAAATATATTCGGCTGGGTTCGGTAGCTTAGCCTGTAATCCCAGTACTTTGGGAGCCCACGGGTTCGTGACCAGCCAGGACAACTTGGCGAGATTCATCTCTACAATAAATCAAAAATTAGCCAGGCATGGTAACGTGCACCTGTAGTTCAGGCTACTTGGAAGGCTGAGTCGGGAGGATCACCTGAGCCCAGCAGGTCAACACTGGAGGGGCCGTGAGTGTGTGTGCCACTGCACTCCAGCCTGGGTGACAGAGTGAGACTCCAATTCAAAAAAAAAAAAGAAAAGAAAATATATTCAACTGAAGCACTTGGTCAGTGATTAAAAAAAATTTTTTTTTTACTGCACTACTGTCATTAAAGCAAAACAAATTCCATACTTGCACAGATGAACATCAAACTTATACACATTGCTTCTGCTTTTTAAAATCTTTTTATTTTTCACTTTGATCCATACAGAATATCTGCACTATGCATATGCATATAGGAGTTGACTGTGATTACATGAGAGGTCATACTTGTCCAGTGCTCACTGACAACATCTTCTAAGCAATAGAAGAGTTTGATGACAACAGTCTAGTTTCCTAGAGCAAGTTGTGGTGGGAGAGCTGGGGGAATTAGGAAGTCAGAAATTAGCCAGGCGTGGTAGCGCGCACCAGTAGTTCCAGCTACTTGGAAGGCTGAGGCGGAAGGATCACCGGAGCCCAGCAGGTCGAGGCTGTGGTGGCCGGGAGCATGCACTCCAATCTGGGCGACAGAGTGAGACTCCAACTCAAAAAAAAAAAAAGAAAGACTACCTCAGCTTATGCCAATTATCACCAAGCAGGGATGAGTAATCTATGCAGCTAGTTCTTCCAATTTTTCAAAAGAAGATGGAAATTGAGTTTGTACAGTATACGCTCTTGCAACTTTTAAATGGTTGGTAACTGATGTACACACACACACGAAATCTTGCTCTGTCCCCCAGGCTAGAGTACAGTGGCACAATCATAGCTCACCACAACCTCAACTCCTAGGCTCCAGTGATCCTCCTGGGACTACTTGTGCACAGCCACACCCAGTTAAGTGGTTTAAGATTTTTTTTTTTTTTGGTATTGATGGGGTCTTGCTATATTGTCCAGGCTGTTCTCAAACTCCTGGCCTCAAGCAATCCTCCCACAAAGACCTCTTTTAATTCAAATACTTTTTTAAAACATCATTTAAAAATATACCACTGAGGCTAAACAACAAAACAAAGCAAATGCGTCAACCTCGATTTCCCCTGAAGACCCCAAATTTGTAATTTCTGTTCTAGAAACTCGGAATTCGGGATCTGATCAGTTAGAAGATAAACCACTCACAGAAATGACTCCATCCAGTTGGCATGCGATATTATGCACTCTGCTTTTAGAAAAACTAAAATCCTATGCCACTTTTAAGCATTTTTATATGAAGAACCACCTGCTGAGTTCGTTTGTTGGCTCAGTAGGTATTTAGAGCGGCCTGCCCTGGACCAGGCTCTAGGAATACAGTGGTGAGCCCAACCTGAGTTAAGTTTAACATTTGGCACAGCAAAATATTAAAAAATACATGAAACTCATCATTTCATTGGGATAAAGATTAAAAATATAGATGGTGGATTGCCTGAGCCCGCGGGTTCGAGACCTGCCTGGGCAGCGAGACCTCATCTCTACAATAAATAAAAAAATCAGCCGGGCGTGGTAGCGTATGCCTGTAATTCTGGCTACTCGGAAGGCTGAGGTGGAAGAATCGCCAGAGCCCAGCAAGTCGAGGCTGCGGTGGCCGGGAGCGGCCACTGCACTCCAGTCTGGACGACAGAGTGAGACTTCAACTCAAAAAAAATATATATATAGATGGGCAGTCGAGGTGAGAGGATTGTTTGAGCCCAAGGGTTCGAGACCAGCCTGGGCAACTTGAAGCCTTGTCTCTACAATGAATCAAAAAATTAGCCAGGCGTGGTGGTGTGTTCCTGTAGTTCCAGCTACGTGGAAGGCTGAGGTAGAATCACTTGAGCCCAGCAGGTCGAGGCTGCGGTGGCCGTGAGTGTGCTACTGCACTCCAGCCTGGGCGACAGTGAGACCACGACTGGAAAAAACAAATGATTAAAAAAAATTCTTGGCTGGGCTCAGTGGCTCAGCCTGTAATACCAACACTTTGGGAGGCCGAGGTGAGTGGATTGCCTGAGCCCGCAGGTTCGAGACCTGGGCAAGTTGGCAAGGGCTCATCTCTGCAATATATTTTTAAAAATTAGCCGGGCGTGGTAGCGCATACCTGTAGTTCTGGCTACCTGGAAGACTGAGATGGAAGGATCGCCAGAGCCCAGGAAGTCAAGGCTGCCGTGACCCGTGATCGTGCCACTGCACTCCAGCCTAGGTGACAGCGAGACCGTGACTGGGAAAAAAAAAAAATTAAAAAAAAATCCTCAAGTGTTGTTCCTCGAGAGCACTGGTCACTGACATGCTCTTCTTACCAGGCCACAGAAGTGACCTGTAATGGCTGGTGGGGCCATTCCAGGTATTCTGGCCAAGGGGGAGTGAGCAGAAGTGATGTGTCCACACCTGGGAGGAGTCAGGTGTACTTGCTTTCCGGAAGTCTCCCCTTTGGCATGGCCATCAGAAGGTTCAAGTCGTGGCTCTTCCACCAGCCTCTGTCCCTGAGTGTCTGCACCAAATAGGGTGCCCCTGCTAACCGGCAAATGGGCATGTGTGTAGTATGCATGCATGAGACAAAAACCTGTTTTGAAACCACTGCAACTGTGAGGTTTTTTGTTGTTGTTGTTGCTGCTACAACATAACAGTTCTCCTGATAGAAGAAAAAGATATCCAGTGCTATGGTGGCATTTGTCCAACAGGATGTCAGATTTGGTATGAAGATCTGGTGTCTACTCACTACTGGGAGGTAAGAAGTGTAGTATAATGTCAAACTCATGCCAAAGAAACCTCTTTATTAAAGTATCTGGGTATTTTTCCTTATGACTACAGGAAAGGGAATTCTTTGGTCAAAAGACTAAACCAGATCTCAAGCTAAAAAACTACCAAATCCAACATGCCATAATTATTTCAATCTTTTCTGCAATTTTATTCCTTCACACAGGGCACCAAAACGCTTAATATTCGAGCATGTATATTTCAGAGACTGAAAATCAGTTTTGAATTCCAAATGGTCACTGCTAGGCCTTTGGACAGTAGTGACCACTAGAGGGACCCATCTGCTTTGTTTTCTGCCTAACACAGAGCCCAAAAGGAAAAGGATGGTGAGAAACTTCCTGCTACACGGGGAGAAATGAATTCTAGGCCCGTTTTTTTCTCCCAAATGAAACGCTGTGCTGGTGCCAGATCAGCTAGCTAGAATCACCTGGGCAAATGTGAAATGCACCTTCTCAGGTACCCCCAAAGGCTGATTCAGTGGGTCTCAAGTGAGGTTCAGAAATATGTATTTGTTTTAAAAAGCTCCCCAGAAGCTTCTGATGCAGAGCTAGATTTGCTACCATTCGGGTAGAAAATTTCAAAAAAAATGGGTCCTTTTCGATCAGAGTTTTGCCATCTGTAGGTTACTTTTGAAAGGGATCAATGTGTAAGTCCAGATAGATAAAAAGGACCTCCTAAGCACAGAATCCAATAAAACACTTTACAATGATAATAAATCACAGGAACAAAAGTTATCTTCAAATGTAAATTTATTAAGACATTCAGCTATGTCTGTCGGTCTACATCCAAATTTGCTACTAAAAATAAAATAAAGTCACATCCCACATTAGGAATACCAAGGTCTGAAAAACACTTTTTTTGAGCCAAGCCTATTGTATAAATAAATGACTAGTTTCTTTTCATATCAAAATTCCCATAAAAAATTCCATTCCCCCCTCCCCAGTGCTACCTGTAGCCATGATGAATGTAAAAATCTAAATATGACACATCCTTGTCAAAGAAAAGGTGCAAAGTCTACTAACAGCTTTAAAAGTGGCATTTGCAGAGTGTGATCATACAGTTATGTACTCATTCCCAAAGTGCAAATATTGCCATAATTTAATACTGTTTGGATTCAGCTGTGAGAACTAAACATTACACAGGACTGAAAGGTACACCCAGGCCTCCATCAGTGCCCTAAAGCTCTTCCCACTTTGGTCTCCTTCACTAAAGCAGACTCCAAAGTGTTCATTAGAGTTTTAGTTTACGTCACACAGCCAACGAAGTATACAATATTAACAAAAGGTTCATATACATCAAAAGATTGAAGACTCCGTCATGAAGGTCAAGAGTCTCATATGACACAAATGTACCCGCAAGGCCCGCGCACCCACCCCCCTTCCCTAAAGCACATACGAGTGTGAGCGTGCTGCGCTCTCGGAATACAATCGATGCTTCTACATCTTTGATTTCATTTCAGTGCTGTACAAGACTCGACCATCACCTGACTGAGTTCCGACTGACTGAGGAAAACAGGGGTGGAGAAAGGGCTGGTCGCTCTTCACACCGTGGCAAGAATGATCCGTCCCCGGCAGTGAAAGGCCAGTTCCGCCTGGGCCTGTGCCTGCCACGCTTGTGCTCGTCCTCTTGATTCTCATCTCCTCAGTCCCTCTGAACACGCAAATCTGATTTTATTGATCCCTCACACACATCAGGGGCAGTTTCTGAAGTTGTGAAGGTTGAATTCTCTTGGCAAACCTCTACAAAACATCAGCATAGAGTATATAAATACATTTTGATGAGCATACATGGCAGAATTTCTCCCATAGGCCAGGGGATGAAAGCAGGTGGTCTCCACTGAGAGTACTTCCTGGATTAGATCCCTGGAATGTCAGTTTCCTGCCTGATCGTCTCACATGTCCATTCCCCGAACTGGAGCATGAACTCCATCTTGAGTTAGCTTCCCCACAGAGTACCAACACATCATTTCTGCTTCCTTTCCTCTAAGCTGACTCTACAGGAAGTGCTTTATCTTTTGCACTATGAGGATATTCTTTGGGGTCAACAGCCCCTTCCTGGCTATCTGGTCTTCTGGCAACAGGCCCACTACTGTCCCCAGAATCCTCCTGTACCCTGGTCCCTGGAGAACGTGCCTGGCCTGGGGGTTCAGAACCTTCCTGAAGCATGACATGTTCAGCTTCAGCAGGAGGCTGTGGAGGCTCGGTTCCTAACCCCGGAGGCTGGGAGGAGTTCTTGAGGTGGCAGTGGCACAGAGGGCAGGTCTCCTGGACATACAGCCATTTCTTTAGACAGCCTGCATGGAAGAAATGACTGCAAGGCGTGATCACAGCAGATTTCATGTCCTAAAAGAGGCGGAAAAAAAAAGACATCTCATAAATGCAAAATCTTTGAAGCTATCCCCAAAAGTTCTGGTCCCAGCATTTCTTTCCCACAATAGAAAATTTGTAACACAGATCCCAGAATAAAACTAATTTTATGTTTCAGTAATAATCCTGTTGCCATCAGAGACCCTCTTATACAAATGATACAAGAATCACTGGCGAGGTAATTTTTAAAACAGAAGTAAAACCAACAATGAGGAAGAAACCACCCTGTCAATTGGGTTTTGTGTTGGTATAAAATGCAAGGGTTACACAACCACAGCAGTTATCACCAGGTCTCCACTAGTATGACAAGAGTGTAACTAGAACCTCAAAAAATCTGATGAAGACAGGACTTTTCTACAGTTATGCTCCAACACAGCTGGAAATACTATTCCATGATGAGATTACTTGCAAGGAGACAAAATCAGCCACATAACACCAGGGTATTGGCAAGGAATGGCCATTCCATTAGGGCCAATATCCATACCCAGTTCTCAAGATTTGGTCGGTAGGAGCCAGTGTTTCTCAACTTGCATCAGAATCACTTGTTAATGCACCTCCCTGGGCCACCCCAGACCCACTAAATTAGGAGATGTGACAATGGGATTCATAAGTCAAGTTACAAAAAGCCACCGTGTGACTTTCACGTACCCACATTTGATAACCACTGGAATAAGGAGTGGGATACTCTGCATTAATACTCCTTGCATAAGATACCTAAGAGGGGGAACTTGAGGACATGAAGTCAAAATTGTAAAGATATACATTTAGTGACTCAACGAAATTAATTTTACTCCAAAAGCCCAACACAAGGAGGTGTGGCAACCCCAGAAATTCCTTGCCAAGAACTGGTAATACCTAGTCAACTTTAAGCAGGAAGCCATCCAAGGAAAAGCAGCCAGGGGAAGCTAAGCAGTTTGACTCTCATTTTCTACGTGAGATCAGCAGGTAGTTCTAGCACCTCAAAAAAAGTGATGTGACAACAGGAAGTACCAAAAGAGAACTCTTGAACTACTTCGACATCAGCTGCTGGAGCTGATGTGCCGACTCTGGTTTTGATGTGCTTTGCCCTGGGTCCAATGAGGCTACCTAGCATGACAGAGCCAGAGCTCACCCTAATTCAAGGAACTGAGAGAACTACACGAGCAGACTAAAGGGCCTGCGTTACTCCTCTGTCCCCTCAAATGCTAAAGCAAACTGGAAAACTTTGTTTTGCTAGGATCCAAAAGTATGTTTTAATCTTAATAAAAAATTGGAGTTACTATGAGAACAACATTCTTATTCTAGTTTTAAACATACACAACTACATATACACCCCCACCTAAACAATAGAAGCAGTTCTGGAGAAAGAACACTCCTTATACAGTACTGACACTACCTCTAGTTCTGTTCCACCAGCTCACACTCATTAAGAGTGATTTTAAATGGAATACAGTTTCTGCTGCTGCCCACAATCTCTGTCCGTATTTCCAACAGTGCAGCCTCTTACGCAGGTGATTGATAATTTGACTCTCAGCCTGTTTGTGGTTGTTTTATTTCCAAGGTGATCTAAACACTATTTGCAACAGAAGGTAAGCACCAGGCTCTTCACAATGCTTGTGCCAAAGCCTGCGGGTAGGCCAATGTCAGCGGTGCACCACTGGCGGCCTTCACCATATCCACCCTCCCCCACAAATTCTGTACCCTTCTCAGATCCTCAGCGACCCACAGGTAAACACATGCTCTCTCTACCTACACTAGGTATATGGACATTCTATTTCTTCCCCACTCTGGGAATACCACAAGGAAAAGAGTCAGAATCTTGGCACACCACTTTTCAGGAGCTGCTGACTCCTGATGGATTAGGGTATTTGATAGTATATGTGTGTATTCAGGAGTAAATATAAAATACACCTGACCTGTTTTTCCTTTATTTATAGGTGAGCAGTAATGTTGAAAACAACAATAAATTAGAACTTATGGGCTAAATTAAAACCTTAATGTAAAAATGGAAGTATTTGATCAGTTCTTCAATAATTTGAGGACTTTTGTTTGTTACCCAGGAGATAATTGTGCCTAGAAATTTAAGTTGACTTTGGTTAATGTGGTGACAGTCCCAAGGGATGCACTGTCTGACTCACCCAAGTGGATTCCTACTGAGTGAGTTACCTGATAGCAGATGGCACAAATGTCATTGTGCTTCTCAAGCTGCTCTTTCGTAGCAATGGGTAATGATTTAATCTTATTCACAGCATCCCTGCGGAGGAGAAAGCTCTTCCACCCCAGCTGGGCCCGAAGCCACACATTATAGTAGGAATGGATGAAGATGATCATTGAGCCCATCACTGTCCATTCTCCAAAGATGGTCTCTGAGACGCCATAGGCCACCACGCAGAGAGCCACAAGGAACTCCAGCAGGCGGTATGTGCCATTCACATAGTAGATGACATCATCCATGTTTTCCACCGGCTCTTTTCTGAATTCCTCAACCATAAATAAGACATAAATAAAAAGTGTTCCCAGAACCTGAAAAAAAGTAGGTATATTTATTTGTAAAGAATATTATCACTAAGAAACTGGTTTCCTTATATAGTAACACATTCCTGATACTTTTAGGATACCCTACTTAAAATCTAAAGAGGAGTAACCAAAGGAATTATTATTATTTTTTAGACACAGGGTCTCGCTCTGTCACCCAGGCTGCAATTCAGTGGCATGATCATAGGTCACTATAGCCTCAAACTCCAAGACTCAGGCAATCCTCCCACCTCCACGTCCCCAGTCGCTGGGACTATAGATGTGAGTCACCACAACTAGTTTATTTTTGTATTTTTTGTAGAGACAGGGTCTCAAAAATTGCCCAAATTTTTAAAAATAGATAAATAGTACGATCTGAAGAGAAGACACTGGTTCAATTAGAATATGGGTGATCTTAGTGATCCAGGTATTAGATACTGCAAAGCCATAGCTTCAAGACACAATTTTCCTCAAAGTATTCTGATGAGTAATCAGTTTTCTCTGACTTATCATTTTCCCTTATTCCCAGGTCACCAAACCCCAACAATTCTATCTTAGTTTTCCTCATACTATAGTCATTCCCATTCCACAACGCTCAAAGAACTTTTACTCTACAAAGAACAATGAATTAGTATTCAATGCCAGCACATTTTCCTTTACTTTTCACTGACTAGGCAGCAATGATTGGCCTTTCAGTTGCAATAAGCTTCCTCATTTCTAGGGCAGTATTTGTGTGTGTGTGTGTGTGCGTGTGTGTATCTATAAAATATGTGTTATGTCTGTGTGTAATACACACATACAACATATATATTTATATACATCATGCAACTATGGGTATTTTTGAGATGATATTTTTATAAAATACACACTCCAAACAAGCTCTAAGATCTTTTAATGTTCTAGTTACTTATCAAAATTTAAGATTTATATGATAGCTCTGTACCATACCATTTTGAAAAAGAGGAAGAGAAAGGCTTATTTATCTTCATAAAAAAATATTGTGATTTAGACAGGTCCACCTAGTAGTTTAATAACCTGCCCTCTAACTCCTATGCTCAAATAGATGTCATGTATTCTAGCAGAGGGTAGGAAGTTATCACTTCAATACTTTGAAAAAGTTTAATTCCTTTTCTGGGAGGAAAAGTAGTATCAGTTATCATATAGAGTTCATTAACCCTAGGCTTACCTGAAGAGAGGTAAGAATGCTGCTGGAAATAATGATAAGAAGCCAAAAGTCCATGTGGAAAAACTGGCAAATCATGTAAGCCATATAAGCAGGGAATACCAGCAAAAATAAACAAAGGCTCACAGCACGGAAGTGTTTCCATAAACTCCTAGAGAAAGAGAAAATTATTCTTTTAAAGTGCTTGCCACCTACTAGCACAACCAATTACATTACCAACTAACATCTCTGGTACGATGATTAACCCTTTGCACTCGGATGTCCCCTCTGAGGGGACTTCATAAATCTAGCATATCATTCAGATGTCCCCTCTCAGGGGACATAAAGAGATTGCTGGTGATTATATAGGACAAACTTATGCCAGCACAAATTTTTTAAAAATGTGTGTTTCCTTGAAGTTTTCTATTCAAATTGCAAAAACAAAAAAAAGCAAATAGATGAAATATACACTGAGATATGACCAATCAGTTGAGAAGTAGTTTTCAGGAATCGTGAGCACATCCTTTCTCATCTTCTTTGAATAACAGACTGGATAATAAATTACATATTATTAATGTGGGGGGAAGAAAGTGAGACTGCATTCTCTGCTTGAATAGAAAAGCACCAGGTAGGAGATGTCAAACAAATTACCATTGCATGACATGTATCAATGAACCTGCAAAGCATGTCTGTGACTATTTCACGCATTACCACATGTTAGAAAAATATAAGATATAAAATTTTGATTTTTTTGTTGCAAGTTCCTCAATGTCCAAAATACCATTATAAACCAAATATCATTACGATAAGATAATTGGTTCCAACGCTATACTATTTAATATGAAGTGATGCATTTTTCACTATTTCATAAAAAAAAAAGTGAGGTCGAGTTGCTGGTGGGTATTGGTGAGATGGCTCTGAGTGCAAAGGGTTAAATTAACAAATATCTGACTGAGCACCCTCCTCCAAGCCAGTCACTGCACTAGAGCTCAGGGCAAGTCACAGGGGTTTATCATTTCAAAACTACTTCAATTGACACTCAATTGCCAAGTACCATCAGTTTCTTTTTTTCTCAATACTTTGTTTTCAATTTCATTCACATTTCTAGCAATTTCAAATTATTTCAGGCTTTTGTACCCTTAAACCCTAACAATTTTAATAGTAATTTTCACTACTAGGAAAGTGATCCATATCTATGTCATTTTCTAATTTGATGATATCCTCTCCCTACCCACTCCATTCTGTGACGAAAATCTGCTGCAGTGAGTGTGGTGTCACTAATGTTGAGGTGAGGGGAATAAGAGGCTTGACTAAGAACCAGTGAAACCAGTTAAGAGCTCCTAGCTGGTCTTCCTCTCTTCCCTAGTCTCTGATCTATCTTGGACACTTGCCAGCCAGATTAATCTCCCTAAAGTTCTGTCCTAATATTTACAATATTGGCCAGACATGGTGGCTCACATCTGTAATCCTAGCACATTGGAAGGCCAAGGTGGAAGGGCTGCTTGAGGCCAGGAGTTCGAGGTTAACCTGAACAATATAGCAAGGCCCCATATCTACAAAAAATAAAAATAGTTATCTGGGTGTGGTAGAGCGAGTTTGTAGTCCCAGCTACTTGGGAGGCTGAGGCAAGAGGGATCACTTGAGCCCAGAACTTTGAGGCTGCAGTGAATTATGATCATATCACTGTACACCAGCCTGGGTAACAGAGCAAGACCTGGTCCCTAAAAATAAATAAACAAATAAATAACAATTTAAAAAAATATATATGTTAACGTCTTCTCTAAATTTCCGTTTCACATTTGAGGTTTTCTACTTTCAATTTTTCAGTCCAAGTTTGTCAACATCTGTTTCTCACTATAAGTTGGTTAATTAACTGTTCTTCCAGCAAAACACATGTGCTCTTTACATCCCACTAGAAATACCTCCATCATGCTACTTCTCTAAACCTTTTAGGCTAACTCAGGCTAAACAAACATATTTGGACTTCAACAAAAATAGTTTCAAGCTGATGGTACAACAAAATTAAGCTGTTTTAATTAAATAACAACATCTGTGACATGTTCTCAAAATCCAGACAAAGCATCTCAAAAAGACTCAAATAACATAAATAATCTTTCCTACTTTTAATTATGATATATGTGGGTAGTAAAAAATTACCACACAAATGCTATACTGTGTAATACTAGTTAATTCATAGAAGAAAGTAAATTATTATGGCAAAATGAAAGCTAGGTGTCCTGGAAAATGTTTTGCATCTTTTCTTGCCAAAACTTCTATTATCAGAAGTTAAGAAACAAGTGTAAACCTGTCAATAGCTTTGCTTCGAATTCAAATCAAACGATTTTACTTTTTTAAAGAAGGGCTGGCAAGAAGGAATGACATAACAGTATTGTACTATGTTAGATGATACATTACATAGAACGAATAAGGCAATTTGCCTTAAAATCTCAAGTATACTTTTCAAAATCAAGCTAGCTATTACCCACTTATATAAAATATATGCATATTTACAAAAATACTTACAGAAAAAAGCATATACAGCTTTATGTCAGAGTTTTTAACTTATGTGTCTAGTTTTGATATAGTTGTATACATTACATACACACATATATACATACATGATATGTGTTAAAATGAAATAAATTTTTAAATAAAATATTTTTAAAATAGGGAAAAATTACATTAAAACCTTGTTCCAGTAACAGGCTAAGCACCATAAAATGAAAAATAATTTTTTACATTCACTCTAACCCAATATTTTAAGGTTTGCCTTCTGAAAATTTGCTATATAATTTAAAGAAGTAGACTATAGTACTAATATTCCTTGTTAAAAACTGCAATAAAATTTGTAGATAAAATAAGCAATTACCTCTACAGCTAAAACTAACTTAGACATTCTCTTAAGTCAAACACTGGAAATTACCTATCTATTCTACACAACTCCAAGACATGTTTATAAGGATTTTTCCCATAACGATTATTTGCTTATCAATATCATCTCTTAACTGTACCTTTAATTTGAGAACTAAGATGTTTCATTTTCTTTTTAATCCTCAGTGTACTGAATTAATCATAGTCCTTGATTCACAAAGCACTATCATTACTGGTTCGTGTGTGTCCCTCTTTTCATTTAGTTAGTAATCTTGCTAGTTATTAAACTAATGTAAGAAGCCTTCATGAACCCACCTCCCCATATACTGATGAGGGCTGGACAATAACCCACACCTAACTCTATGGGCAGGCCTGCCTCTGCCATGTCCCCTGTGCCCCTTGAAACCACTATCTTGAATCCTGTGTCCTATGTGCTTCATTGCTTGCTTTGGTTGATTCACAGTTTGATTTTGATTCCTAAGGAGTATAATTTTCATTTTATATTTATTTATTGAGTCAGAGTCTGGCTGTCGCCCTGGCTGGAGTACAGTGGCACGCTCACAGCTACAGTAGCATAAACATCCTGGGCTTAGGCAATCCTTCCACCTCAGCATCCCAAGCAGCCAGGAATGCAGGTGTGCACTACCAGTCTAGCTTTTTTTTTTTGTAGAGACAGGTTTAACTATATTGCCCAGGCTGGTGTCAAACTCCTAGACTCAAGTAATCCACCTGCCTCTGCCTCTCAAAGAGCTGTGATTACAGGTGTGAGCCACCGTGCCTGACCAGGAGCATAAATTTTAAAATTTTGTTTTTAACATAAAAATAATATTCTATATTGTCATCTTTTGGACTTTTTAAAAACTTGATATTGCTACGAATCATTCATAATGTTTTATGTGTCACTATTTTTAACATACCACTGTGATTACTATCACGTTTTATTATTCACTTTTCTGTCTGACTGGCACCTGGGTTGTTCCCAGGCTTTTGCTTTGTGACTCGTGCTATTCTTCTACATGTCTCCTACTATATATATGCAAGAGTGCCTCTTGAATATACACCTACGAGGACATAATGCCAAACTGTGCTCTGAAGCAACTCTACTGTACACTCACGTCAGTACCATGGGCTGGCTGTGGATAGACATTTTCTCTCACCCTGACACCAGCAGACTCTCCTTCCTCTCTCTTCCTTCCTCTCGATTTACCGTTCATTGCCGATCCAATAGGTAAAACTCTCACCTATGGTCTTCATTTACATTTCCCTGATCAGTGAAGATGCTGAACTCTCTTCATAATCATGTGGATTTCCATCTTTTCTTAAATACTTCACTATGCCTTTTGTCCATTTTTCTTACTGATTTGTAGGAGCTGTTTTTATCTATTCTTGATCAGGAGTGTATACTGAGACTATCTTCCCCCAGTTTGTACTAATCATTTCTAATTTAAGCTATCTTTAGGTTTAAAAACTGCTATTGATTTTAATAGTTTATGTATTGATCTTTTCTTTCATAGTCACAGCCATTCTCAGTTTTTCACAGTCACTTCTGTCAGTTTAGGAAATCTTTTCCTACCTTAAAGTCCAAAGTATTTTAATCTGCTACAGTCTTAACTTTCTGTTTTTGATATTTACGTCCCTAACATTCTGGAGTTGATTATTTTGTTTAGAGTGTGAGATAAGGATCCAGTTTTTTCCTAGCTTCATTATAGGCTAGCACTACCTGTCCCCACTCACCTGACATGCTACTTCAGTCATATACCAAAGTTCCATACAGACAGGGCTGTCTGGGGACTTTCTGTTCCATTGGACATGCTGTCTATCCTTGAGTCAACATTACAAACATCTCATAATATCTCCTGCTATGAGTGAAATACTTTATCTTCCTCAAGTTGCCTGATTTTTTAAAATATTGGGATTACACTGGTCTCACCGAATGAGTTGGGGAGTATCCTTTCATATTGTCTGAAAGTATTTGTTTAGGATAGAGATAATCTGTCACTTAAAAGTTTGGCAGAACTTGCCTGTAATGCCATCTGGGTCAGGAAGTTTACCAACTGCTTCAATTTCTTTAATAGTTCCAGAATTATCCAAGCTTTTTAGCTCTTTATTTCTTTTTAGTTCTTCCTGAGTCAGTTGTGTTAAGTTGTATTTTCCTCATAACATTCTCATTTCATTTGCTTTAAAAAGTACTGCAGTGAAGCTGCTGGTGGTATTCTCTTACTACCGTAGGCAATGGTGGGAGAGAAGAAGAGAACCTAAAATGATTCACTCCTATTTTTCCTCCCACAGCCAAGAGGGGAGTCTCTCTGCCTCTGGCTAATGCTTCTGTAGCCACAAAGAATAACATAGACATCAATTCAAAATAACTGCCCTAGAACCATCCACAATACTTCTCAATTTGTTCCTTTACCTCTAAATTTCCCCTGCATTTGATCTTTCTTTTCTTTTCCTTTTTTTTTTTTTTTTTTTTGAGTCAGGGTCTCACTCTGACACCCAGGCTGGAGTCCAGTGGCATAATCACAGCTCACTGCAGTCTCAATCTCCTAAGCTCAGGCAATCCTTCCACCTCAGTCTTCTGAGCAGCTGGAACTACTGGCAGGGGGCCACCACGCCTGGCTAATTTTTTGATTTTTTAGTAGAGATAAGGTCTCTGTATGTTGCCCAGGCTGTTCTAGAAGTTGTGAGCTCCAGCAATCCTTCTGCCTCAGTCTACAAAGTGCAGGAATTAGAGGCATGAGCTACCACGCCCATCTGTATTTGATTTTAAGGGAAGTCAGTACTGAGACTAGTTCAGAATCATGGGAAGACCCACAATTAGATCTGCTGCTTCTTACAGTAGTGGAGCTATATGTTTTTTCTTTTCCAAATTTCCTATATTATTATATGTTTTATTAATATATACTAAATTAATTAGTATAACTAATAATAAAAATACTGCCAGAGATGACAAAGAACCAATTATACTCAAGACAATCTATTTTTCAGATCTATTAAGTGGCTATTTAACTGAGCTCATGCTTGAATTCAACATTTTAACTGCTTCTGCTGAGAAACCTTAAGCCTCAAAAACAAATTTCACATAACTACAATTATGATGATTAAAATGATCTGAAACAGGCCGGGCTCAGTGGCTCAGCCTGTAATCCCAGCACTTTGGGAGGCTGAGGGATGTGGATTGCCTGAGCCCGTGGGATCAAGACCAACCTGGGCAACTTGGCGAGACCTCGTCTCTACAATAAATAAAAAATTAGCTGGGTGTTGTAGTGCACACCTGTAGTTCCAGCTACTTGGAAGGCTGAGGTGGAAGGATTGCCGGAGCCCAGCAGGTTGATGCTGGGGTGGCCGTGAGTGTGCCACAGTACTCCAGCCTGGGCGACAAAGTGAGACTCCAACTCAAAAATAAATAAATAAATAAATAAAATAAAATAAAATAAAATTATCTGAAACAAGCCAGGCATGGTGGCTCATACCTGTTAATCCCAGTACTTTGGGAGGCTGAGGCGAGAGGATTGTCTGAGCCCTGGGTTCGAGATCAGCCTGGGCAACTTGGCGAGACCCAGTCTCTACAATAAATCAAAAAATTAGCTGGGCATAATGACGCACATCTTTAATTCCAGCTACTTGGAAGGCTAAGGCAGAAGGATCGCCCAAGTCCAGGAGTTTAAGGCTGCAGTGACCATGAATGTGCCACTGCACTCCAGCCTAGGCGACAATGAGACTCTGACTCACAGAAAAAAAACCCTGAAACATATCTAAAAGGTTTGAGCTTATTTCAATGAATTTTTTTTAGGTGTCCTACCATTTTTGAAAATTTTATATAGAGTGTTTGGCAGTGTGGGTTATGGGGATGCAAAGATAAATGTGATGAACTATAATTAAAATGCTAATTTGGAATGGTTTAAAAATCTGCTATCACAATTCTGCCTCCTCAGAGACTGCCTGCTCCCAAAGAAGAAATAAATTTGGATGTATTTCTATAATCAATCATCAGAGTGAGCATAGAACACTGGAAAAGAATAGTGACACTGGATTTTAAGAAACTCCTTAGGTGCCTGAATGGAACATAATTGTATACCTAACCCTTAACTGTACCCCATATCATAATAAAAAATATTAAAAAAAAAAAAAAAGAAATTCCTTGTATAAATTACAATAAGCCAAAATTATATCTTTAAAGAAATAAATATGGCAGGCATGGTGGCTCACAACTGTAATCCCAGCATTTTGGGAGCCAAGACAGGAGGAGTTCAAGACCAGCCTAGGCAACACAGCAAGACCTTTTCTCTATAAAAACTGAAAAAATTAGCCGGGCATGGTATCATGTGCCTGTAGTCTCAGATACTCAGGAGGCTGAGGTGGAAGGATCACATGAGCCCAGGAGGTCAAGACTACAGTGAACTGTGTCAGCCTGGGTGACAGAGTGAGACCTTGACTCAAAAAAACAAAAACAAATAAAGAACTAAGTAATACTTTAGCTTTTCTTCAAAAATTAAGAACATTTCTGGATGAGTATCCCAATTACCAAGATGTGATCATTTCACATTGTATAGAGAGATCGAAATATCACATGTATACCAAAAATATGTACAACTACTAGATATCAATAAAATGTTTGCGTATGTATATACATAGCTTTTAAAATCTCTGCAATAAAAGATGTATATGACTCCAGCTATTACTTTCATTGGTTCCATTAGGTGTTAAGTCACATGCAACTGTCTAAAACACCATCAAATGAGGCTGTTATTCCATAAATGTCTGTCTTTATGATTACCAGAGAGCCCTTATTTTTCTCTCCTTCATTTGCATGTCACTTAATGCTTTCTCTCTTTTAACTAACATTACACAGAATAAAATCACATATTATTATATTTACTGGACTAAATCTTATGCCCTGTGTTCTTAACTTTAAAACAAGACAAATATAAAAACTATTACATTTCTCTAGAGAAGAACAAAGTTGATTTATAATGACATGGCTTTCAATGTGACTTGTAACTATAGAAATCCTGAGAGAAAAAAAACAGAAATTTTTTTTGGTCTCTAAATACTCTCTAAGTCTTTTTTTTTTTTTTTTTGAGACGAAGTCTTTGTTGCCCAGGCTGGAGTGCAGTGGCACACTCACAACCACTGCAGCCTTGACCCACTGGGATCAGGGAATCCTGCCTCAGTCTTCCAAACACCACCACACCAAGCTAGTTTGTTTATTACTGTCGAGACAAGGGCTCACCAAATTGCCCTGGCTGGTCTCAAACCTCTGGACTCAGGTAATACTCTCGCCTTCACCTCCCAAAGTGCTGGAATTACAAGTGCAAGTAAGTATTCTCTAAGTCTTTAGACAACAAATTCATGTAAAGAATATTACATGAATTAAATTTAAGAATATTAAGGGATTCTTACTTGTCTCTAGAGGCTCCCAGTGCCAAAACAATGGGGTCTGCAATCTCTAACATGGACTGGAGGATAGATGCCACGACGATGAAAAGGATGATACTGAGCAGGAATGCCCGGTGAACCACCTGGAGTTCTATCAGCCCAGTCTGAACTGCCAGGATTAACAGTGTCACTCCTTCTGTCATGCCGCTAAAAAAAGCACATTTTCAGAAAAAGTAAAATGAATAGTCTAAATTCTCATTTAATCCAAAGAGAAAATAATCCAAAGGCTTAGACTGTTTGTTACATATTTTTAAATCTATTCTACTTAATTGAGACTGAAAACCAGAAGAGTATATATTAGCATTAATAACATACAGTCATATATAACTACATGTGCAGGAGCATAGGGTAAAAATAGTAACTTCTAAGACAAATAAAAGTTTCCTAACCATACTTTGTTAATGAGCCAGAAACTTCTATTCTTAATTAACCACTAAATTATACCTATTTTACATCACGAGCCATAGTTACAAAAGAAAATCATAGGTGAATGTCTTCATAACTTTGGAAAGGAAATAATCTCTTTAAGCAGACCATGAGACCCAAAAGACATAATGGAAGAAAAATATAAATTCAAAATTTTTTTGAAATTTAATTTTTATTTAAAAAACACACCATAAACAAAGTCGTACAACCTTTGACCCTACTGGCTTGACTTATAAAGAACTCTCACGGATGAGAAAAGAGCAAAGGATAGGCACAGTTTCAAAAACAGCAGACTGGCAAATATTTCAAAGTCTGATGACATCATGCACTGATAAGGAATATGAGAAAATGAGCACACTCACGTGGAGATGTACAAAGATAGAACCTTTCTGAAGAAAAATTTACTAATACACGTAAAATGTATATGCCTTTTAACTCAATAAGCCCACTGGTAATAACTTACGCCCTGTGGTTGTACTAAAACAATGAAGATATATTTATAAAAGAAAACAAAGGCAACCGCCTCAGGTCCCCTCCCACTGTAGGAGCTTTTCTGTTCTATTAATAAATTTTGCTTTCTCACTTAAAAAAAAAGAAAAAGATAAAAAGAAAACACAACAAATAGTGCAACATGTTATGTGACACCACGGGGATGCCATCAGCAAAATCTAGTCTGAGAAACTCTATAGGGCAAACCGCCTGGTGTCTTCAACAAATAAAATGCAACGGCAAAAATACAGACAGTAGGGACCTAAATACTAAGAGACCAAAGAGACACTGATCAGTTGCAGTATGGACCTTATTTGGATCTTGAGTTGAGCAAACTAAATGCTCAAAAAAGTTTAGATAATTGGGGAAATTCAAGATAAGGTGTGGTGGCTCACACCTATAATTCCAGCATTTTGGGAGGCAGAGGTGAGAGGAATGCCTGAGCCCAGGGGTTTGAGACCAGTCTGGGCAACTTGGTGAGATCCTGTCTCCACAATAAATCAAAAAATTAGCCAGGTGTGGTGGTGCACACCTGTAGTTCCAACTACCTGAAAGACTAAGGCAGAAGGATTGCCTGAGCCCAGCAGGTCAAGGCTGTGGTGGCCATGGGCATGCCACTGCACTGCACTCTAGCCTGGGTGACAGAGTGAGACTCCAACTAAAAAAAAAAAAAAAAAAAAAATATATATATATATATATATATATATATATATAAAATTGGAGAAGAACACCCAGGGAATATTTCAATACCAAAAAATTCTTTTACTCGGAATGGCTCATTCTATTGTAGCTATGTTTTTTCAAAAGATTCACAGACTGAAATATTTATGGGTAAAAAGATAGTTCATCTTGAGATTTTCTCCAAACAACTGCAGTCAGGGGATTATGGAATTGGGGAAAGGGTGAGTAGAGCTGACTGGGGCATGTTTGACATGAGACTGGCCACACTGTTGGAGATGGGTGATGAGTATTTGGAGATTAATGTTACTATTCTCTCCGCTTTGTTGGTTTGAAATTTTCCAAATTAAAGGTTTTTAAAAAGAGACATGAGGCCAGATACGGTGGCTCAAGCCTGTAATCCTAGCACTCTGGGAGGCCGAGGTGAGAGGATTGCCTGAGCTCAGGGGTTTGAGACCAGCTTGGGCAACTTGGTGAGACCTCGTCTCTACAATAAATAAATAAAAAATTAGCCAGGCATGGTAGCACATGTCTCCAGTACCAGGTACTTGGAAGGTTAAAGCAGAAAGACAACCAGAGCCGAGTAAATCAATGCTGTGGTGGCCATGAGTATGACACTGCACTCCAGCCTGGGCGACAGAGTGAGACTACAACTCAAAAAAAAAAAAAGAGAGACATGTACAAAGATACAGCAGTGTTATCTTCTAATAGCAAAACAACAAACCAATAAGAGATATAGTCATAGTATGGAACACTATGCTTTCACCAGAAAGAATGGAATGTATCTGTCATATGTTGACATTTTTTAAAAGCCTCTCTAAAACATGCTAAATGAAAAAACAAGGCACAGAACCACGAGTACAGTATGTGAAAATAAATCCTCAAAATAATATACATGTACTTTTCCCTATAAGAAATCTTTAAATAACCACCTAGAGGTGTTACCTCTGGGGAAAGAAAATGAGAAGCGGGGGAACTGTCACTTTTTATTTTGTACCTTTTGAATTGTATAAATTGTGTGAACTTATACATAAACTATTTTTTTCTTGCTCCTCCTCCTTCCTATCCTCTTTCTTTTTTCCATTTTAAAGGTGTTAGCGGGAGTAAGCAGGAAGATTATGAACCATAAAGATTTAAGAAGAGGTTAACATAAATGAAAGATTTTAAGATGTTATATAAGCTTATATAAATGAAACCACTACTAAAGATAATATAGATCATGAGAAGTTCTAGAAATAGATTTCCCAATACCTAATCTTAATAACTTAATAACAACTAAGTTAACCATTTTGCATTCTTATTAATTTGTTCTTGAGTTCTTCAGTAAGTATTCAAAGTATGTTCAAACACACAAAAACAATCTTTAAGAAAGTATCAGAAATCACAGGGGTTCCCAACCCCAGGGCCACAGACTGTACAGGTCCACGGCCTGTCAGGAACCGGACCACACAGCAGGAGGTGAATGGCAGAGCGAGCTCAGATCAGCAGCAGCATTAGATTCTCAGTTGCACCAACCCTACTGTGAACTGCACATGCAAAGGGGATCTAGGTAGGATGCACACTCTTTATGAGAATCTAATGCCTGATAACCCACACCCCAATGTCGGTGGAAAAACTGTCTTCCACAAAACTGGTCCCTGATGCCAAAAAGGCTGGGAACTGCTGAAACATTGTACAGAAATTGGATTTTTTTTTTTTTTTTTTGAGTTGGGGTCTCACTCAGTTGTCCAGGCTGGAGTGCAGTAGCACACTCACGGCCACCAGAGCATCAGCATGCTGAGCTCCAGCAATCCTTCCACCTCAGTCTTCCAAGTAGCCAAAATTACAGGCATGCGATACCATGCCCGGCTAATTTTTGAATTTATTGTAGAGACAAGGTCTCACCAAGTTGCCCTAGCTGTTCTCAAACCCGTGGGCTCAAGCAATCCCCTTACCTCGGCCTCCCAAGGTACTGGGATTACAGGCTTGAGCCACTGCACCCAGCCTAGAAATTGGATTCTAACAGGGCTACATTTAAACTTCAAATCGGAAAAAAGCAAGTTTTCAAAAATCTCTTAAATCTAGGAAAGTGTCCAATATTCATTACAATGTACAAACAATAAAAATACAACTTTTTTACATGGGAATTTTATTATTTTTTTCATAGTACTTTAATTCTAATGTTGCAACCATTCAATAAAAACCCCTCCAAATTCTATTTTCTCTAAAATTAATCAAGTAACAAACTTCATCACTACTTCTTCAAGTTATCTACAGGAATTGTTTCTAGCCATATTCAAGGAAGGAACTTACCGATTCATGGCAGGATCATTCATGAAAGCTCGATAACCCTGCAAGTAAAACTTGCAGAGTGTCAGAACACCCAAGGCAACAAAAGAAACGGTGAAGACCAAACCCAAAAGAGAGTAGGGAGTGCTGCAGCATTCAGCAATACTGAAAAAAAGGGAGGAAATTAACAGACATAAATTTCCATATGGAATGAAAACATTTTAAGCCTTTAAATAACCAACAAGCTTGATTTGATCCTCATTAATTAAAACCCTCAACTAAAATTTTAGGTGAAATTACCAAATGACTCCATTAATAATTTAAATTGTCTTATTATTCAAACCTATATTTCTATCTCTTTGGCAATACCCAGTATAAAACACCATATCTGAAACAAGATCTTTATTTTTCCTCATTACCTATCATCTCCTTCAAATGTAGCAAAATTCAAAATGCTTAAATTTTATTCAGCCGGGCTCGGTGGCTCAGCCTGTAATCCTATGCTTTGGGAGGCTGAGTTGAGTGGATTGCCTGAGCCCACGGGTTCGAGACCCGCCTGGGCAACTTGGCAAGACCTCATCTCTACAATAAATTTTAAAAAAGCAGCTGGGTGTGGTAGCATGTGCCTGTAATTCCGGCTACTCAGAAGGCTGAGGTGGAAGGATCGCCGGAGCCCAGCAGGTCGAGGCTGCAGCGGCCAGGAGCGGCCACTACACCCCAGTCTGGGCGACAGAGTGAGACTCCAACTCAAAAATAAATAAATAAATAAATAAATCTTATTCAAATCTTAAGAAACATAACTAGCATGATAAGTATTCAAAGGAAGCTTGTATAGTTGCCCATTGTTCTTCCTGAAAAATGTTAGCTGTTCAAATTGTTCAGACTGTGTTATATTATACTGTGGTTACTTGTTGCAACTTATTGGACCAAACTTTCATGCAGCAGGGCCTTTGTTGACCTAGAAGTCCCCTCCCCACGAGTCCTCCCACTACAACAGTATCTCACAAGCTACTGGTATTTTAAATTTCCATTTAATTTAGGTTTAAATAAACATATTTTAAAGGGCTTCAAAAACATGCCCAAGAATTCAGCCCAAGATCATTTAAAAATAATTTTAGTATCAGCAATTAACATAAAAGTTTGCTATGATACCACTTATATGGCTAACTGGAAGACATTACACTACAGCATGAAAATATTTCCACTGAACATATCAGACATTAACTTATATGTATTTTATTTATTTATTTTATTTATTTATTTTTTTTGAGTTGGAATCTCACTCTGTCGCCCAGACTGGAGTGCAATAACCGCTCCCAGCCACCGCAGCCTCGAACTGCTGGGCTCCAGTGATGCTTCCGCCTCAGCCTTCCGAGTAGCCGGAATTACAGGCATGTGCTACCACGCTAGGCTGATTTTTTTATTTATTGTAGAGATGAGGTCTCGCCAAGTTGCCCAGGCGGGTCTCAAACCCACGGGCTCAGGCAATCCACTCACCTCAGCCTCCCAAGACGCGGGATTACAGGCTGAGCCACCGAGCCCGGCTTTTATGTGTATTTTACAAACATATGAACTATTATGTACTAATGAGTTGGATTAAGCATTTACACAGTATCTGTATCTTAAGTTTTAGAATTTCAGGGAAGAATTTCATTTATAAAGATGAGGAATTCACTCAGGAAAATCAATGTTTGTCCTTTACTATGTAGTTCTAAGTTTCTATGTTGTTATCGTCCCTACACAATTGCTTCTAAGTTGGTTTGTATGTGAAAGCATCCAATTTTATGTGAACCAATGTACATTATGATGAGAAAAAAATGTCTGGTTTTCTGTTAGGAACCAAAATATCCACCAATTACAGTTGCTGACAGCTAAAACAAAAAAATAATTTTACAACATTTCTACAAATATAATTTCTTAAATGTTTGACTTTTTTCTCACAGAAATCATCACATAATCCAATGTTTAAACAAACCATCTACAATTTTAAAATATGAATGATGGCTGAATATAATCTTACAATTTTACTTCATTCTCATTGAAAAAGGCTGAAAGTTTAAACAAAGGTTCATTCTATTTCTCTATTCTTTTCTTCACATTTAGAGAAAATTTTTATACCCAAACAGTATGATTTAACTACATATTCAAGAAAAGCACATTCTTTTTCTCTGACTTTAGAAAAGAATGTGGTGCTATTTTTCAAGCGAGTATACTAAAGAACATAAAAGTTTTCAACCTGGCTATGGGGAAGTGAAACAGTTTAGGAAATTTAGAAACTTTTCTTCCCTTCTCTCTTCAATAAGCGACATTTTTATTGATCTTAGTTTCTATTTCCTGGCTGCAAAAAAACTCTTCTTTTTTGGTTTTCCGCTTGTGTGCTTTTTTGTTGGTTGGTTTAATTAGGGTATTCTGCTAAACTCCCAATACTTTTTTCCAAGAAAGTTGTTTCTTGACAAGAAAACACGTAAGTAAGCCGGGCTCGGTGGCTCAGCCTGTAATCTCACGCCTTGGGAGCCTGAGGTGAGTGGACTGCCTGAGCCCACAGGTTCGAGACCTGCCTGGGCAACTTGGCGAGACCTCATCTCTACAATAAATCAAAAAAATTAGCTGGGTGTGGTAGCACGCGGCTGTAGTTCCAGCTACTTGGAAGGCTGAGGCAGAAGGATCGCCAGAGCCCAGCAGGTCGAGGCTGCGATGGCCGGGAGCGGCCACTGCACTCCAGCCTGGGTGACAGAGTGAGACTCCAACACACACACACACAAAAGAAAACACATAAGTATAACTTGACACACAAAAGTATCAAGGACAGAGATCTACTTAAAGAGATAGAAAATAAACAAAAGAACCAATAACGGAACTTCTCAATTAAAAACCAAATTAAAACATTCTCATCTTGAGAAAGATCAATATCTCTTGGCTATGTAAAGAATAGAGAGGAAAATTATTTTGACAAGATAGCTAAACTTCATTAAAAGTCCCAGTATTATTTTCTTACTTTGTAAATAAGTCTAAATTCATTCACGACTTAGTGACTTGTTAAGCCTGTTACACTATGCTATACCTCATTTGACTGTGGCTTTATAACAAATAACAATCTGGCTTAAAGCATAACCAATTCCAGTCCTACACTGAGGTGATTATCTGCTAACCACAGAATTGTATCTCTCCCCTTCTCTTTAAATTCAGTCACTTTTTAGATCATTTTAAAAGTCTGCATAAAATCTCCATAAAATTTACATAAAAGCAAATAGCACTCACTTGTTTACTATTAAATTTATTATTAAAGTGTATTGGCTTTGATACCAAATTACTGCGTGTCTATAATAGAAGCTACTTGCAATTAAAAGTTTCATTTTCAGAAAGTACAAAATCTAACTCAGTACCAGTAAGTTTACTTGTTAAAACAGGTACTGCCCCAGTATATTTTTTTATCACTGTTTAGATTTGTGTTAATATTTTCTATCTTACTAAAATGCTCTTTATGAACAGTAAGTTTGTTTTAAACTTCTCATTCCCACACCACTTAGTACACAGTCTCCATCATTCTGGGTGGCTGACAAACAATGGCTCTACTAACTAGAAATCAAAGCTGTTATCTGCCTTTCAGGAGGACAGGCTTTTGTCCTTTCCTTTTAAAGTGACAATAACCGCCTGGGCAACTTGGCAAGACCTCATCTTTACAATCGATTTTTTTTTAAAAATTAGCTGGGTGTGGTAGCGTGCGCCTGTAGTTCCAACTACTTGGAAGGCTGAGGCGGAAGGATCACCAGAACCCAGCAGGTCGAGGCTGCAATGGCCAGGAGCGGCCACTGCACTCCGGTCTGGGCGACAGAGTGAGACTCCAACTCAAAAAAAAAAAACAAAGAATAAAGTGACAATGAGCCAGAGAATCAAGATATGTACCGTGTGCTAGATTCTAAAAGTGTGAGATTCAAACTCAGAGTGCAAGAAATTACAAAAGTGGGTCTAGCATAAGCTCACAATATAGACACTGAAGTGGGAAAAAGACGCGAGTGACATGACTTTTTTAAAAAACCCAAACCACCTAAATCTTAAAAATTGAGTCTTAGAATCGTAGGGAGTTAAGCAGTGAAGTACTACCCATTTAACCAAGTATCTGACTTTCAACTTCAACACAAAAGCAAAACGTTAAAAATAAGAACACACAGTGGAATTGTCTAGATGAGCCACAGGCTTGGACTGCAGAGGGGCTTGGGTGCCAGCTCCGCTTTATCAGAGTCACCTGGAACAAATCACTCTTGGCACAGTTTCCTCAGCTATCAAATGATAACGACAACAAAGGCATCTAGATCTCAGTGTTGCTGCAAAGGTTAAATGTGAGGGACAGTATTTAGCAGTATAGTACATATTAAATTCTCAATAAATCTTTTTGGTAACATATCTTTCTCTTACTGACCCAACGACTTAACATGAAATTGAAAGAGTGCTCCCCCACAGTTTGCTATGTACTTTTCCACAAGGCATTTGCTGCACTTTGGAACAGAGTATAGCCAAATACACTACCATTATTATTATATTAATACACCTCCTATCTTGCCAGACCTAGCTATCCACCAAATGAAAATCCTATCTTACTTAAATATGAAGTCATGTAATGTGATAAATACAAGTAATTTGCAAAATGTACTATTCCTGGACCAAAGCTTTCTCTGTCTAAGGTTATATATAGTATCACATTATTAATTACCTTGTCAGAAAAAGGAAAAGCAGCCTCTCACGTGATGCAGGCTGATCTCGAGTACTGAAATAGGAGTAAATCTGAAGAGCAAATAAGACGAGCCAGAAAACCATGAACAGAACAGGGACTACCAGTTGATTCCATAGGGACATTCCCAAGGCTAGAAGACCATATACCTCCACTACCTAAATAAGAAAATATGGTTAAAAAGCATTTAGTATCACCGCCAGTTAGCATTTTTAAATACTTAAGAGTTTAATCTGAAGTAGAATGAAAAAATAAACGCCTTCCTTTTACTGCAAAATTCTTTCAGCTACATTCCTTTAAATTATACATAGCAAATAGCATGTTTTTAAAAATTTACTGATTATACACTATTATTAACACTTGACACATGCTCATCTGGCAACAGTAAACTGCCCTAATAGTTCAGGGATAAGGTCAAAATGAAGTCGTATTCAGAACAAAACTTGAGCAGACTTGGTAAACACGCATGTCTAACCTAAATAATCAGGACTAGCATGAATTATAAAAATACTGCTTAAGCCAAGCATGGTGGCTCACGCCTGCAATCCCAGTACTTTGGGAGACCGGGGCGAGAGGACTGCCTGAGCCCAGGAGTTCAAGATCAGCCAGGGCAATATGGCAAGATCTTATCTCTACAATAAAAAAAAAAAAAAATTAGCCAGGCGTGGTGGCATGTGCTTGTAGTCCCAGCTACTTGGAATGCTGAGGCGAAAGGATCACCTGAGCCAAGCAGGTCGAGGCTACGGTAGCCGAGATCGTGCCACTGTACTCCAGCCTGAGCAACAAAGACTCCAACTCAAAAATAAAAAAATAAATATATTGCTTGAGAGTCTAAGAAAAACAAATGAAAAACTAAGAATTTCTTAGGGTCTCTTTGGGAATATAATAGATGAAAAATAGTTCACTGGAAGACAGAGTATTTAATCACTGGAGAAGTTTATTGTAGAGCAAAAGATAGTTAGCAAGTGTTTTCCCCTAAGACAGATAAATTCCCCTTGCTCCTACTGTGTATTTATCAAACAACACTTCTCAATTTATTTAATTTGACAAATGATGCATTAACAACAGGAGAAGGGTACATGTACACATACACACACACACACACACACACACACACACACACAAAGCTTACTAATCTACAATTCAATAATTTAGTTTCCCAGTTTATAAAAACAATTCTTATAAAATTGACTAGCAAGAATTAACTCCCAGAATCTCACTCAGTCTAATAGCATAGATGTCACCAAGTTTCTAGAGTTACTAAACCAGGGACCAAACCCTGGTAACACAGCAGAGTTCTGTCAGGCAGTCTACAAAACCCTGACCCATCAGCAGACAAGTCTTGCTAGAATGGCTCAATACGACACCACAATGTTTTAGTAAGAGTACTGACTTGCAGATTACCCTAAATTAAAAATTTTTCATCAGTAACCAAATGCTTTCTCAACAATCTAGTCTATTAATATCTTTTTCCAGTTAGAAAATATTAAAAGAAAAAGGAAATTGTTCAATAAGCAGCAGTTTTTTGTTTGTTTGTTTTTTGAGTTGGAGTATCTCTGTTGCCTAGGTTACAGAACAGTGGCACACTCAAGACCACTGAAGACTCAACCTGCTGGGTTCAGGTGATCCTTCTACTGCAGCCTTCCAAGTAGCTGGAACTACAGGCGCGTGCTACCACACCTGGCTTATTTTTTGATTTGTTGTAGAGACGAGGTCTCACCAAGTTGTTTGGGCTGGTCTCGAACCCATGAGCTCAGGCAATCCTCTCACCTCGGTCTCTCAAAGTGCTGGGATTACAGGCTTGAGCCACTGCACCCGGCCTGCAAAATTATTATTAGAGCCATATAGATAATTAAGAGGCAAACAGTATTTTTCCTCCTTTTCATTTAAAAAAAAAAAAAAGACCATTAAAAAAACCTAATCGTTTCTATTTCTTGCTTACCCAATTCTTTCCAAGTGACAAATTTCATAACCTATAATTTATTTTCCACTACAACACAAGTGATGCGTAAGTTTTATGGTAACCAGTAAAGTAAAACGTGGCACTGAAAAACGGAGGGTGTATCTCTGTGGTCATTAAATAAGTACCTAGTGAATAACAACTATTTATTACAAACTAAGGTAGCTCCACGGGACAGAATTCAAAGACAAAATATCTATCGTAAATTTGTCATTCTTACCCTGAATACAACTACAACGCTTCCTTGCTCCCTACTTAAAGTATGAAAATAATCTCCTATTCTCTGGAAGATCTACTTCTGGAAAAACCATTCAAGTTAATCACTGTGTAAGAGGAAGAAGGTAGAATTAGGCTAAGACCAAGAGCATAGGGAAATTATTGTGGAAGATCTGCTTCTTGGGGCCACAAAAGAATACCTCACTCGGTAGTATCAGTTTGGTCAATCTGAGAGCTTCCTGTACCTTAAGGTCACATACACACAGTCAAGAGGTAGAAAATATTGATTGTTTTATCCCTCTTTATACCAATGTCAGGTTTAAGATTTGCCTTATAAGCCAGGTGTGGTGGTTCAGGCCTGTAATCCCAGCACTTTGAGAGGCCAAGGAGAGAGAATTGCCTGAGTCTGAAGGTTTGAGACCAGCCTGGGAAAACTGGCAAGATCTCATCTCTACAATAAATCAAAAAATTAGCTAGGGGTGGTGGTGTGCACCAGTGGTTCCAGCTACTTGGAAGGCTGAGGCAGAAGAATCACGTGAGGCCAGCAGGTAGAGGCTGCAGTGGCCGTGAGCATGCCACTGCACTCCAGCCTGGGTGACAGAATAATACTTTGACCCCCCCCAAAAAAAAGACTTGCTTTATACAATGCAATTTATTGATTACATCAAATGGAAACATTTATCTCCCAAATGTCTATTGTTTGTATCTGGGAGTAATCTGCCTTAGAGCAAAGGCTGAAAAGAATATAGGAGAAACTGTATTCCAAAAAGCATGTTATGCTGGCAATGTCAATTCAAGTACTAGAACTAAACAAAATCTATCATATTATAACCCAGAACTACTTAGTTTTTGTTTTAATAAATTAGGTAAACAAAGCTGGGCACAGTGATTCATGCCAGTAATCCCAGCACTTTGGGAGGCGGAGGCAAGAGAGAGAGAGAGAGGCCTGAGCTCAGGGTTTCAAGACCAGTCGGAAAAACATAGCGGGACCGTGTCTCTATAAAAAAATAAAAAAATCAGCAGGGCATGGTGGTGTATGCCTGTGGTTCCAGCTACTTGGAAGGCTGAAGGGGAAGGAGCGCCTGAGCACAGCAGGTTGAGACTGTGGTGGCCATGAGCGCACCAGCCTAAGCGACAGTGTGAAACTCTGACTCAAAAAAGAATAATAATAAAATATATATATAAATAATAAATTAGGTAAACAAAAAGAAGAAACTGCAGTCACAGGACTGTATCCAGGAGAAAAGATAGGATTTGACTTCTAGGTATTCAATTCTTTATTATTTTTGTCTTCATTACAATAGTTAACACATACTGAACAGAATCTGCCTGGTACTAAACTCATTTAAATCTCATTGCAATTCTATGAGGAAAGTGTAAGTTATTATTAGCTCAATTTTACAGAAAGTGAAGTAATCATCCCAAGGTTACAGAACTAGTAAATAGCAGCATCAGGGTATAAACCCAGACAGTCTGCTCCAGATAATCATTTCACTTTACTGCCTTCTCATAGAACTTCATCATGAAACATCTCAGATGCCCCTAACTGGGTTGAAAATAGTTGTTAAAAAAGAAGTGTGACATGAAAATAACACTTTAATGTCATTTTAACGTACTTAATATTCATGTAGAATTTTATCTACCTGTGTGAAGTTGTCAGTCTTACCTGAACCAACTCTCTGTATGCAGACTTAGCAAGATTATAAGGTACTAAAAGATTTGACCCAAGAAAATAGAGGACTTCCAATCCAGTAAAAATCATAGCAAATTTGTTGATGATGACAATAGTCTCCAAAGGAACAAGGCAGAGTCGTGCTAGCAGAGGAAGCATGTGAGCTGAAAAGAGCCAGATTTGCTTGGTTTTCATGACACAGGAACATAAAGTACACACCACCAACTGACCTAAAATGGGGAATAAAATGCATTTAATTTTGAGCATTTGGCATCCACAAAATAAAAACAAAAAACACTGTTGATAAGGATCATAACACAGTTTTTGAAGAAAAATCTCTTAGATAACATTTAAAATCAAATTTTAACTTCATCTGACCATAATTACATATTCACATGTTCTGTGAATGGTGACTACTAATTCCTTAGGGCTGATATTTCTTGTGCCAAAATCTCCACTGGTCTTCATCGCGTTTCTGATGGTGTGTATGACACATAGCAAGCCTTAAACAATATCTAGTTTTATGTTATAATATTTCAGTTACTGTCCGGGCACGGAGGCTCAAGCCTATAATCCCAGCACTTTGGGAGGCTGAAGTGAGATGACTACCTGAGCCCACAGGTTCAAGGCCAGTCTGGACAACTTGGTGAGACCTCATCTCTACAATAAATTTGGTGGCATGTGCCTGTAGTTCCAGCTACTTGGAAGGTTGAGGTGGAAGGATTGCCGGAGTCCAGCAGCTCGAAGCTGTGGTGGTTGTGAGCATGTCACTGCACTTCAGCCTGAGTGAGGTGAGACTCTGACTCAAAAAATAAAATAAATAAATAAATAAAACTAAATTAGCTGGGTGTGGTGGTGCATGCCTGTAGTCCTAGTTACTTGGGAGGCTGAGACAGGAGGATGGTCTGAACCCAGGAATTCAAGGTTACAATGAGCTATGATAGTACCACTGTACTCCAGCCTGGGTGACAGAGTGAGACTCCTGTATCAAAAAAATTAAGAAACATACAGGGTGCTCATTTTTCTACTGACATGTCAATAGTGAGCATAATTTATAGGAGGGAAGCACAAGAAATATTTTCTAAGTTTTTTTTTAAATTTTCATTTTGTTACCAGTACAACTGTACATTACCAATAGGTACATAAAAACATGTGCAATTATTTGGTGAAATGTCTGTTCATACTTTTTGCCCATTTTTCTATTGGAATATATACCCTATCTATTATTTGATCATATTAATCCTTTGTCATATAATAGTATTTTTCTAGTATGCTATTTGTCTGAATATTTTTTAATAACTTTATTCTCTTATAAAAGTTTTTATTGAAAATGGTCAAACCAGTCAATCTTTTCCATAGTGGTATCTACCTTTGGTGCCATGGTTAATTACATGGCTACCCCTACTCAAGATTATACACAAGTATTCACCTATGTTTTCTGTTAGTAACTTAATTAATTTTTCATTTTCAATGAAAAATTAATACATTAGGCATTTATTTTGGAAAAATATAGAAAATAAAAAATCTAAGGGTTTTTTCCCCCAGATTTTTAGTCAGTTGTCTTCCAAACTACCTATTGGAATCATCTATTCTTTTCTCATTAACTTAAAATGCCACTTTGTATACTCCAAAATCTTATATATTTAGAAATGTGCTATTTTTTTCCAGTAACCTATTCTGATGATAGCACCACTCATTCCATCCCACTGATTGGACAAGTCTCTCACTGTTCTTTTCAGAATTTCTTGGAGACTCTTGAACAAAAAGAAATCTTGAATTTCTTCTAGATAATTTATTTCAGAATTGCTAGTCAAATTATTTTCCTCCATGTCAAGGAAAAGCAAAACAAAATATTAGGATTTCTGTTTGTATTCTATATACAGGCTGAATAGCCCTAAACAAAAATCTTAAATCCAAAATGCTCCCGATATGACATGATGCTCAAAGGAAATACTCACTAAAGCATTTTGGATTTCAGATTAGGAATACTCAACCATCAGCATAATGCAAACATTCCAAAATCCAAAAAAATTAATAAGTCCAAAACATTTCCAGCCCCAAGCATCTCAGATAAGGGACATGCAACCTGTAATTGTTAGAAGAATACAAAAGGGCAACCATTTTTACACAAGGCCGAACATGTATAACAATCTACTATGTTATAAAACAAATATGGTATTTTTTCCCATAGAGAATTAATTTTAGCCTTTAAGGAACTTATACTCAAATAAGGTGAAAAATGTTCATAAAGGCATTAAAACAGCGAAAAACTAATAATAATAATAAAAAACAAGAGATGAGGCCACCAAATGAGATGTGTCAACAACATTTTGGAAGACAGGAAAACAAAGAGATACCAGGCAACTCCATTATGGTTTTAGCTAGGCCAAACCCTCACTCTGGGAGGACAACTGGGGTTTGCTCTTTGAAGATGGTGAAACTGAGGTTACTGAACACCATGCACAGTCCATGGCAGAGATGAAGGGCTCAAATGAAAACGGGATAAAAAGAAAGGCTGAGGTATAGTGGCACATGCCTGTCATCCTGTACTCCGGGAGGCCAAGGCAGGAGGATTGCTTGAGGTCAGAAGTTCAAAGCCACAGTAAGTGAACTATGATTGCACTATTGCACTCCACCCTGGGTAACAGAGTGAGGCCCTGTCTCCTTTAAAACAAACAACTATACCCCAAAAGATGAGATCTCTCCAGACCCCCAAACACTGCTGCCAAATTTACTATCACTCAGTTCTAGCTACTGCCACCAACCTCCCTTACAGGGGATGGACGAGTCCTCGTGGGGAAATCTATGAGCCCAAGTAAAAAAATTTAGGAAGACTGACACTTCAGGGCCCCGCCTACAAACAGCTAGTGCTACTTGATCACCCACAGAAGAACACACCACTTGATAGGCCCTACAGAAATTCTAATCCAACAACTTAATAACTCCCTTTAATATAAATGATCAAAGACCTCCAAACATATGAGTAAAACTTATGGTTTAATCAATCTTACACAGAGTCTAGGCATCAATATTTATAATTGTTTAAAAAATATATCCAGGCGACTTTTTTTTTTAAGTCAGAGTCTCATTCTGTCACCCAGGCTAGAGTGGGGTAGCACATTCATAGCTACCTCAGCCTTGACTTGCTGGACACAGGCAATCCTTCCACCTCAGCCTTCCATGTAGCTGAAACTACAGGCATGCACTACCACACCCAGCTAATTTTTTTATTTATTGTAGAGATGAGGTCTCACCAAGTTGCCCAGGCTGGTCTTGAACCCCTGGGCTCAGGCAATCCTTTGCCTCTGCCTCCCAAAGTGCTACGATTACAGGTGTGAGCTACTGCATCTGGCCCAGGTGATTCTAATCTAGGCTTAACAGCCACTGCTCTCTTATGAAAGACAAAGACCAAATGAAAAAACCAGAAAAAAGATCTCAGAAGAGAGAGAATGAAAGGAGCAAAAGAAAGCTTTAAAAAATTACAACAGCTTCAAAAAGATAAATTATATATCAAAGAAATAAAAAAGACTGCCATAAAAGAAATATTCAATGAAAACAAGCTCTTGGATATGAGAGAAATATATAAGAAAAAGAAAAATGTTGACCGGGTGTGGTGGCTCATGCCTATAATCCCAGCACTTTGGGAGGCCAAGGGGAGAGGACTGCCTGAGCCCATGGGTTCGAGACCAGCCTGGGCAACCTGGCAAGACCTCATCTCTACAATAAGGCAAAAAGTAGCTGGGTATGGTGGTGTGTGCCTATAGTTCCAGCTACTTGGAAGGCTGAGGCAGAAGGATCACTTGAGCCCAGCAGGTCGAGGCTGCGGTGGCCATGAGCATGCCACTGCACTCCAGTCTGGGCAACAGAGTGAGACTCCCCAACTCAAAAAAAAAAGAAATCAAAAATGCAACAAAAGGGCCAGATAAAGTTGGGAAATCTCAGAAAGTAAAACAAAAAGACCAAAAAAAAAAAAGGGAAAGAGAGAGAGAAAGAAGGAAAATAGTAAGAAAATTAGAGGCTCAAGGTAGGAGATCCTTATTCTACTAGCAGGATTTCCAGAAAAGGTCAAAAGAAAAAACAGCCAAGAAGATATTACCAAGTGCCAGAAGAAGAGACCTCTGAAAAGATACCTGAGAGTGAAGCAAGTGGTACAGCAGACAGAAGATTTTCATCATAAATTGTGGGATTTCTTCCCTTTTAAAAATAAGTGTATTTCTTTGATTAAAAAATTAAATGTTAAAAAGTTAAAACCCCAAGTGATTGGAGGAAATGCTTTAGTACTAGGAAGGATTAGGGGATATTCATGCTGGCATATCTAACTTTCACTGTGCTCATAGCTATGATATTTAAATGTCCTTATTCAGCATGATGCAAACTTCCTCTAAGCTCTGGAAATTCCCGTAAGTTTATGCCAGCACATGCGGTGCTCAGTTCTGGGACTACAGACTCCGTTTATCGTCTTTCATAGAATATGACTCATATGACATATTCCCTTAAGTGGAAGGAGGAAGGAGACACTTCGTTAGTGGAATCTCACCTGTAGCTCCAAAATAATAAGTTGTTTTCTTTTAATTTGCCTATTTCAACTTTTCATTCTGAATAAATAAAAAATCACAAAGTACTCTTCGAATTTCAGGATTTCACTATCAGAAATATCTCCAGGCCGGGCACGGAGGCTCATGCCTGTAAATCCCAGCACTTTGGGAGGCAGAGGCGGGAGGATTGCCTGAACCCAGGGGTTCGAGACTAGCCTGGGCAACTTGGCAAGACCTCATCTGTACAATAAATTTTAAAAATGAATCAGGTGTGATGGTACACACCTGTAGTTCCAGCTACTTGGGAAGGATCGCCTGAGCCCAGCAGGTCGAGGCTACAGTGGCTATGAGTGTGCCACTGCACTCCAGGGGCGGCAGAAAGAGACTCTGACTCAAAAAAAAAGAAGTTTGTAACCCTAAGAAATCATGGCATATTCAAATTTCCAAGTATTTCATTAAAAGTTTATTACTGAAATAAAGAAAAGGAGGAGGATACTATCTTAAAATCAAAGTTAGAAGAAAGCATGCTACTTAATAGTTTATGAATCTTGTTTTATTTCCCATTGAATAAACAGAAGATCATAGAAAAGAGTTTAAACAAATATGTTTCATAATTATACTAAAAGTGCACCCATCAGAAAATAAAATTATACAAGGTTTCTAACCTAGAAATGTTTTCATAAATGAACATTACCATCTTTAAATACACCAACTCATAGGATACAGTCATAAAGCAACATTATTTTGTGTCCTGCTGTGTTTAAAATCTATTCTGTGGAGATTAGTTATTTTCCTGCCCCTAGATGCAATCTAAGGCAAATCCTTTAACTTTTCTACTCTTCTCCCTTACTTTGGCTGAAGCTTCCTAGGGAACTATGGGCAGAAAACCTGCAATTGAGAGAGGGGTGGAGAGGCTGTGGTTGGCTTCCTTCTCTTTGATCTAATACTTCTCCCCCTCTCCCTGACTCACTCAGGATTGGAGTGAGTAGAGAAGGAGAGGAAGGGAAGCAGCAAGTTCTCACTGGTCTGGCCCTTACAATAAGGTAGTGTTGGTGCTCCCTGGACTTGAGGTACCTAAAATGGATCTCTTTTCTCTGGGGCACTTTTATGGGCTCTTCTGAGATTTTCCTAGCACTGTGGATCCCTCACCGACAGAACTTGTGGTGCTTGGTAGACACCTTCCTCTGGCCTTTTGTTTCTCTTATCAGTTCCCAGGAATCTGGAGGTTCAATCCCTGTTGGGGTCTTCTCATCCCTCTAAAGGGCTTTCCTAAACAAGACCTAAGATAATCCCACACAGACTTTTTGGAGCCCTTATTTAGTTCACAGGAAGCTCACATCCTTTGTCTTCACAAATCAGAAGATACAGGAAAACACTACAAAGGCAATTTCACTCCACAATCAAAAAACTCAACAGGCAGCCGGAGCTCACTCCTAGCCCTTTATATCAGATTAAAATAAAATTGTGAGCCACATATATCATTCTGAATTTTCCAGTGGCTGAAATTAATTAGCACTGATTTATATAACCCAATAAATCCCAAATATTACCATACAGACATCCAATCCAAATTAATGGTTAACAAGACATCTGGCACCCTTTTTTGTACTGTCTGGGAAACTTTGTGTGTGCATTACATGTTCAGCACCCCTTAATTTGGACTAGCCACATTTCAAGTGCTCAATAGCCACATGTGGCTAGTTTTGGACGGTGCAGCTTTAGATTCTGCAGGTCTGAGTCAGACACCCGTTCACAACATCCACCATATGCCACAAAAGACGCTAACTCTCCTGACAGTCTCCCACTGAATCCTCTAGATGCAAAAGTCTGGAAGTGAGTGAGTGAGTGAGTGAGTGAGAGAGAGTGTGTGTGTGTGTGTGTGTGTGTGTGTGTGTGTGTGTGTGTGTGTGTGTGTGTGTGTGTGTGTGTGTGTGTAGCTCTCTGAAGAAATCTTTCTGTAGTCTCTAATATTTAACCTCTTATCTTTTGATGTCTTCTACATGGGTGTGTTTAAGAGTCACAAACCAGGTTTTTCTCTCACTTCCTTTTCTGCACCCTAGCAGGGTCTGGTGCCTCACTTTGAACTGTATCTATTTTGTTTTTAGGCCTTAGTCAACACATCTATTTTCAACACTCTGATACCGAAATATCTCAATCACATCTCAAGTTCTTGATGTTTCTTGCAAGTTATTTTTAACAATAGGGTAACGGCTTTAAACAATAACAAGTTTAAGATATTTCATTTGAATCTCTAAGTAGTAATTAGCTCTATTTAAAAATTAATCTTCTCAAATTCTTAAAATACCCTTTAAAAACACAACCAACTATGAGTTATATACAATATGATTATAAATACCTAAAATAAACATCTATGCATGGGGGGAAAAGACTAAGAAAATACAACATTAAACAATGGCTATTTTGGAAAGAGTCACAATGAATCACTTTTAAATTTTCAAATTTTTTTAAAGTGAGTATACACCAATTTTACAAGACAGTAATAATGGTTGGTTCCTACCTACATTTTTAATTCTTTTATGACACTTACCTATTAAGGCTGTGGTAAATCGATTCATGGAGAGAGGTTCTAAATACATTGGTCCTTCATAGGCAAACTCCAGTTCACTTCTAACATAGTCTCTACATGAGAAAATTGATAAGAATGTATTAGATACATTCCAAGCATACACGGCGGGAAGGGGGGGAAGCAGTCAAATCACGTATTCTTATAAAAGTATATTGTGTTAATGAAACTTCCATCCACATATAAGGAAAAATCTAGGTATAAAGAATTACATAGGAATGGCCCTCTTCTCTGTCTTCTATGCACTGGAAATAGACACAATTTATTGAAACAGAATTCTACTATGCAGGGAAGACTGCCAAAGCTCCACATTATGGAATTTTCTTTCTTCCAATGGTCTAATTAAATATGTAATGCCCTGTAAAAAGACAGCTAGATGCAATCTCTCAACCCTGCTATTTAACTGATAACAACTAGCAACACTACACTAAATATCCCCTTTTGGCTCTCTTCCACTACCACCATCCCACTCTGCGTATTTCCCCCGAAATTTTATCCTCTATTATATTCCATTAGCCACAGGTAAAACCACAAACTAGTTGGAAAACTGAGTCTAGCAGGACAATCCTTAAATATCGTCATTTTCAAGTCTATATGAAATCTACTATGAGAATTATATTTAAGTAGGCTACTTTTATTTTAAAACAAGTTTTAGATCAAATAAAATATTCATTTTAAAAACTTAATTCATTTAACGTTTGACTACTAAGAAATAGTAAGCTTCAAGTAGTATACAAAGAGACTTGACACTGAGTTGGAAGCACAAAAAGGGAGAATTTAATTATCAGGTACGCTGCCAAGTGGTAGCTTGAAAGACAATTGTCTTAAGTACTTTCAGCATCAAAGATAGGAAGTTTGTGTAAAAAAATTCCTCCTTCTTTTCTTCAACTATTGAATGCTTTATTCATTGTATTTTAAACAGTGTGAATATTTCAAGTATTTCTGAACAAACTGTGTTTACTTTTTCAATGAAATTATTTCCTATTAGGCAATCAAGTTGGATTTCTTAAGCACAGCATAGCCAAACAAGAAATGACTCTTATATAATCAGCTAAAATGGTACTGCCAAAAAAAATCAAAAATTAACATTTTTAAAGAATCAGAACAGTTTTAGGAATGATGATAAAAATCAGTGACTAACTAAGCTACATGGGTGATCTAGCAATTCTCCCTTATCACTCTATGATGACTGTTTCTAACACCAAATGGGTTGATAGTCTGTTTCTACTGAGAGAGAAAGCCAGATTCTGAAGAATGATTTTAAAGCAGTAGTTGTCAGTCAGGAGCAGTTTGTTCATTACTTGGTGACTTAATCAACTTTCAAGCCACAATGACAGCCCTGATAAACAGTTCTCTCCTATTAGTTCTCTTATGTTGTCTCCTTTAGGACTCCTGGAATAGCTCTCCCCCAACATTCCTATCCAGCCTGAGTCTTCGTTTCAATTATCCTACCCTCAAAATCAACTCCTATCATAAGCCCCTTAAAACCTTCCCTTTTGCTCAATTCCTCTCTCTCAAGATAGTCCTTAAGAATTCTCCCTGTTTGGCTGACTTGCCAGTAAGCCCCACCTCAGTCGAGACAGCCAAGCCAAGGAAGCCTGCGGATTATGTCCTTGGGACAGCTGAGCTCAGCTTGCCAGAGAGTGATTTTGCCTAAGGCTGAACTACCCAGTATGTGCAGTGACTATAGAGCTATCTCTTCTAAAAGGAGAATCTGGGCATTCCATCCCAAACTGTAGAGAAGAACTGAAATAAGAACCAATGTGAACAAAGATTTCTATAGCTAACCTATGGACAATTCTTGGACAACTCATGCAAGCAATGAGAACTCTTGGTTACTCAGTTCCAGCAGAGGGTCAGTCACAACTTTAAAAAGACAGTAGCCTAAAGAATAAGGATCCAGAGAGGATCTAAAATTCCATGAGTCATTTCAGGTCATAAATTAGTCTGAGGCAAGAGCCATGAAATTCTAGCTTTTAACAACATCTTATAACTATTTTAAGACAATCAGATGAGCTGTTCAAGAGAAACACTACAATTTTTCAATTTACAATGATAGAATGTGTGAGGTTCTTCAGAAGCAAGATCCCTGTCATTCACTTGAAGGTGAATAAAATCTTTCCTTCTTCAACCTCCTTTTTCATTTGTAGAATGCTGACAATCAACCCTGAGCACTAATAGGCCAAGCCCCTTTGAAAATCTACTTCTCTAGTCCCAGATGGTAGCCTCTTCTCCTTTAAAAATATGCAAGATTTATGAAAAGGCCTAGAGGATATAGCTAGCAATAAGAAAAATTCTTGCTTATAAAGAGAAGCATACAAGTTATAAAAAAACAAATGAATAACAACAACAACAAAATTTAGGAGCTTGCCTTTTCACCAACTAATTAAAGACCTTTCTTCTCAGTCTCTTAAGCAATCTTACTCAGTCACTGAACAGCTAGGAACAATTTGCATATTCTAGTCACTTTCTTAAAGCTTTCAAATAATGTTAATTCCCAAAAAACCTAACAGACTTTCACACTAAGTGGTGAGCCCTCCAAGCTATCTTTTGCAAAATGGGCAAACAGAAAACACCACTCAATAAAAGTGATCTCAGAAACTAAGATGCTCAAATACCTGTATTTGAGCACATACCTACTATGCATGCACATACACACACCTATACCTACTATGCCCTCAGCACTGTGCTGGCAATTGAATAGTTCATTTACCCAGGGTAAATTGTCGACACCCTGCTTCTCTCTTTAACTTTTCTCTGACCTCTTTGATATTCAGTGCCACAATTTGATAATGTTAAAAAAAAAAAAACAAGTCAAATACTAAAACTGGTCAATTTTATTCCTGTCAAAATTAAAAGTTTAGAATATATATGGTAACATCCATCTAAACAATTTCTTTATCTAAAGTAGCAGTTTTCAATGGAGGACAGTTTTCCCCCCCCAGAGACAACATATGGTAATGTCTAGGGATACGTTTTAGTTGCTACAACCACTGGAGTGGGGACACTAATGGCATCTCATGGATAAACATGAGATGCCATCAACATCCTCTATCACACAGGACAGCATCCACTGCAAAGAAAACCCAGCCCCAAAGGCTAACAGTCCCAAGATGGAGAGACTCCTGATGTACAGCTTTGAATTATACAAGTTGTCATGAAATGGAGAGCTAGTTATCTGTATTTTACACATAAGTAACTCTTGAGAAAGTTTAAAAAAAAAAGTTTTATATTTGAAATCATACTTGCACACCCAAGAGCCAGGATGAAAACAGCAATACTTTCATCTTTTGAAACTCAGTACTATTGGGCTCTTAATTCAAGTCATAAACATACAAAGTTGATATACTGGTTCATAAATCTAACAATAAAACAGGGAATTTAAGAATACTGTTTAAAATTTTTAGAGAAAAATACAACTATGGATGTGACCGCATCCCCATAAGAATGACCACACTCTCACAGGAATGTTCATGTCACAGTAGAGCTTTTCTTCTCCTCCCCCCTTAGTTCTAGATAATCTAAGTTTAAAATTAGAATCGGTAATGAAATATATATTCCTTACATCACTCAAAATGAAAGGTAGACTTTAGTAATTTTAAAAATTAAGTAAATTGACATTTACCAAATTCTAATGAGTTCAAATAGAATAAACAGTATTGTATAAATATCCAATTTATACAATATTGACCATGTATTTTCTAATGCTTAATTCTTCTGAACTGCAAGCTATGTCTATTCTAGAGACATACTCTAAACAAGTTTTTATTCATTTAAGGATAAAGAGCTTTATTATAAAAATACATGTATTAAGGGAAAACAGAAACCCAGCATTCCAAAAGTGTATGAAAGTTTCAACTTAGAAAATTAATATTTGCAAATGTTTTTTTTCTACAGCTAGTTTTTGTAAGTACCAAATTATTAAAATTATCCAAATATTAATTCTCCTTCTCTGAGGCATATTACACTATGCCTTGAAAAAACTAGGTTGCAGTAAATGGGAGAAAATATTTGCAAATCATCTATCTGATAAATGACTTGTATCTTGAATGTATAAAGAACTCCTAAAACTCAGTAAGAAAAAGACAAATAATCCAATTAAAGAATGGACAAAGAGTCTGCATATTTTTCCAAAGAAGATTTACAAATGGTCAATGAACATATGAAAAGATGTTCAACATGATTAGCTATCAGGGATATGCAAACCAAAAACACAATGCAATACCTCTTCACACTCACTATGAGGGCTCTGCTAAAAAAGGTAGACATTAATAAGTGCTGACAAGGATGTGGAGTAATTGGAACACTTGTATACTGCTGGTAGAAATGCAGAATAGTGTAACCACTTTAAAAAGCAGTCTGACAGTAACCTACATCTAACCACCTTAAAAGGTTAAATATGGAGACCATATGATCCAGCAATCTCACTCCAAGATATTTGTCCAAGAAAGACAAGAATATATGTCCACACAAAAACATGTACATGAATGGTCATAGCTTATTTGTAAAAGCCAAAAAATGGAAATAATCCCAAGTCTATCAATGGATAAATGTATAATCAAAAATGAAGCATATCCATACACTGGAATATGATTTGGACAGAAAAAGAGATAAAATGCATACTACAATATAGGTAAACCTTGAAAACATGCTAAGTGAAATTCAATGCATACAAAATATCCAGAATAGGTCAATCAAGAGACAGAAAACAGACTAACAGGTGCTCGGAGCTAGGGGACAGGAAGAGTGCTGAGAAATGGGGAGGGACTGCTAATGGGTATGTTTCTTTTTAGGGCAATAAAAATCTTCTAAAATCAACTGTGGTAATGGCTTGCACAATTCTGTGAATGTATTAAAAACTACTGAACTGTACATTTTAAAATAGTAGGTGAATATCTCAATAAAGCTATTACTTGCTTATGAAGCAACACATGAAATATGAACCATTATGTTTTTTTAAACTAAAAACTTCAATCAATATTTTTACAAATGTGGCATGTTCAACCTCAATATTTATTAAGTGCAACATGTTATGAAAAATTCAAGGATAGCATGTCTTGGCTAACCTTTTGTAAGATAGTACTATACAGTGTAAGTTACGTTAAGGGGAATGATAGTAAAATATGCCATATCTTGAAATTCATTCATTTAATATTAAAACAAACTCCAAAAGATAGGCATTGTCTACAGTTTCAAAGAAGTAACTAGCTGAAGTAACATGTTTACTAAGCAGTAAAACAATTTTTTACTCAGTTTGATTCTGAAACCAATTTTGTTTCCACTACTCACGTTGCCTCCCTTAGAAGAATGAACAGGATTCGAAAAACATGGATTCAAGTTAAAGTCTGAGCTGTTTGCCCACCTGAGTTTTTTCATCTGTAAATCCCAAAGGATCACAATAAGAATTTTTTTAAAAAGTGTTTCTTCAGCCTGTAATCCCGCGCCTTTGGGAGACTGAGGTGAGTGGATTGCCGTGCCTGGGCAGCGAGACCTTATCTCTATAATAAATCAAAAAATCAGCCGGGCGTGGTAGCGCATGCCTGTAATTCCGGCTACTTGGAAGGCTGAGGCAGAAGGTCGCCGGAGCCCAGCAGGTCGAGGCTGCAGTGGCCAGGAGCGGCCACTGCACTCCAGTCTGGGCGACAGAGTGAGACTCCAACTCCAAAAAAAAAAAAAAAAAAAAAAAAGTGTTTCTGCCCACTATGACATTTTATTAAAATTCTTTTTGTTAGCTGGGCACGGTGTAATCCCAGCACTTTGAGAGGGCAAGACAAGAGGAATGCCTGAGTCCAGTGGTTTGAGACCAGCCTGAGCAACTTGGCAAGACCTCACCTCTACAATAAATCAAAAATCCAGGGGTGGTAGCATGTGCCTGTAGTTCTAGCTACTTGGAAGGCTGAGGTAGAAGGATCACCTGAGTCTAGCAATCAAGGCTGCAGTGGCCATGAACTCCAAACAGAGTGAGACTCTGACTCAAAAAAAAAATTCTCTTTATTGTTTCAGTTTTAATTTTCTAGTAGTAAAAACAAAGTTTGAACATTAAAAAAAATTCCCTTGCCAGGCACAGTGGCGTACACCTGTAATCCCAGCACTTTGGGAGGTGGAGGCGAGAAGATTGCCTGAGCCCACAAGTTCAAGACCAGTCTGGGCAACAAGGCGAAATCTCTTCTCTACAATAAATTCAAAAAATTAACTAGGCATTCTGGTGCACACCTGTAGTTCCAGCTATTTGAAAGACTGAAGCAGAAAAATTGCCCGAGCCCTGCAGGTCAATGCTGTGGTGGCTGCAATTGTGCCACTGCACTCCAGCTGGGACAACAGAGTGAGATTCCAACTCAGAAAAAAATAAAAATAAAATAAAATAATATAAAAATTCCCATAAACCACAGAATACTCTGTGAATACCACAGAGTACTCTGCCATTTAAAAACTCATTGTTAAAGATTAATGACATAGCTATAAACACACAAGAATAAACACAATGTTTTATCACAAATAATTGCTGTGTAATAAAAACAAGATAGAGAGGGCAAGCTAAAGCCCAAACTTTACCTGTATGCAACCTACTTATCTCCACTTGTATCCCACAACTCTAAAATAAATAAATTTAACATTATTTAAGGCAAAAAAAAAAAAAAAAGACATAAGACTGTTGGTTAAAATTCACTGAGCATGTATACTATATATCAGGAATTGGGTTAAGAACTTTACATGCCATATCTTACTGAATCTTACAACAGTTCCTTAAGATATTATCATTTTATAGGTGAGGAAACTAAGGATTTCTGGTGGCACTCAAGACTAAAGAATAATAAACAAGGACCCCAGAATTTGAACCTACCAACCATCCATATATCCAAAAAATAGATCAGAGTGCTCTTAGGTACAGAAACCATGCGGTAACTACTGCAATATACTTTACAGATATAATTTTTATTTAAAAATGTATAACCATGGAGAAGTGTCTCCACTCTGAGCGGGAACTGAGATTCAGGTGTCTGGGTAAGGCCATAGAAATAGCCTGTGTAAGGGTTTGGGGCTGGTGGTACTAGGATGAAGAGGACAATGCTGTCTGTGTCAGCACTGGCCTTCGAATTCCTAGTTTAGCTCTATGGAGAGAGATGCTACAAGAAAGGCTTAGACACAGGGACATTCTTGTGTGACACAAAATGAGGAATTTCACTGTCTCCCCTTCTAAGTGGAGTACAACTTGATGTAAACACTGTGAGGATTACAAGAAATGCAGTACTACTCTGACAGTTCCAGATTTTGCAACTTGCAACTTGGATATCAGAGGACATACCCCAGGCAAGGATAGTGGCCGAAGTTAAGGAGTAAGACATCATCCTCCAGGGACTATTCTGAGTAGAGAAGACCAACTAGGCAGGAATATTGGAGGTAAGTTCAAGAATATGAGTCTCCGGGAAATAACTTGAGACTGAGAAATAATTAGACAAAATATTAAGGAGAATGGAGGCCCTGTTTCAACAAGAAGAGTCAAAAGCCAGCGATTGTTTAGTTATTACAATTATTCTTATTTTGTAGACACTGAAGTGATGAGAGTTGGAAAGCAAAACAAAAAACAAAAAAACTAGAAGACCAGAATATTAAAAAGTCTATCTCTGGATGATATAATTTGAGATAATTCTTACTGCCTTTAAAATTCCTGTGTTTTCCAAAAATTATCTACAGTGAGCATTGTATCTTTATAAACAGAAAAAACTAAAGTTCGCTAAAACTCAACAATTAAATTCTAGCAATGTAAAAATACTATTTCTAAGATTAAATTTCAAGCCTACACCAAAATTTGTGTTTCAGACCTCTTATTATAGCTTGTTCGATATGCCACTCCTCTTAAAATTGGAAGTCTGATTTATTATGGTAAATACTTTTCTTTTCTTTTCCTTTTTTTTTTTTTTTTGAGTCGGAATCTCACTCCATTACCCAGGCTGCTGGAGTACAGTGGCACGCTCACGGCCACCCCAGCATCCTCCCGCCTCAGTCTTCCAAGTAGTGGGAACTATAGGCACATGCTATCACACCCGGCTAATTTTTTATTTACCGTAGAGACACGGTCTCGCCAAGTTGCCCGGGCTGGTCTCAAATCCTCAGTTTCAGGCAATCCACTCGCCTCGCCCTTCCAAAGTACTGGGATTACAGGCTGAGACACCAAGCCCAGGCGGTAAATACTTTTCAATCAAAAATTATAAAATGTAAGTTTCAAAATAAATTATGCCTCCAAAATTTATTCTACTCCTTTTACATTTACGGTATCACTTTTAGTTCACCTGCATTTTAACATTCTGTTCCAAAATAGGAAGCTCATACTCATTGGCAGACTTGAGTCTTAAAATTTAGACCTAGCAGAGCTGGGTAAATAGGCAATACTGCTAAAGAAACAGAAGTCCAGAGCTACATATAATTATCACATAACTTAAATCAATCATCTACTCTACATGGTTGTGTCTTATGCTATTCTCATGCATCATAAATTGACTTCCTAAAATGATACAAATATGTGATGATGTCTGTAATTATTACAACGCTCCTACAGCCTGTCTTTAGAAATTCTTTTCTCAGACAATTATAGCAAAGCTCAAGAGTATCTCTGTAACATAACCTTAAGTTCTGTTTCATATTAAGCTTACTCTAAAAGCAGAAACAGCATTTAAGTATAAACTCAGCTGTTATTCCTGTATGATAATATTTTCTTAGAAAATGAGAATCAAAATACTCTGTTTTGGGTCCCAACCAAAGCCTTAGCTTTACTTACTAGTGCTCATGAAAAGTATCTTATTGACAAAGGAAAATTTTTTTTACTAATTTTTTGATTTATTGTAGAGATGAGGTCTTGCCAGGTTGCCCAGGCTGGTCTCAAAACCGCGGGCTCAGGCAATCCTCCCACCTTGGCCTCCCAAAGTGCTGGGATTATAGGCGTGAGCCACTGTGCCCGGCCTGACAAAGGAAGACTTTAAATTTGGTCATACATTTCAAAAGTGGGGTCACATTCCTACCTGGAGATTTGATGTCCAGCATAAAGGAGCAGGGCAGTCAAAAAATACAGATAAAGTTGAACCAGATGCTGCCTGGGCAAGGTCAGCAGCACGACACTTAGGATGTAACCTGTGGCAAAAACCAAGAACAAGATATAAATAAAATGCAATTCTAATTTAGCCTCCCAATTAATTACACTAACAGAATGAGCTTGAAATAAATTATTTTCCAATTAGGCTTCAACAACTTGAAGTTTTTAATTACACTACCAAAGTTAGTTTAACACAGTAACATCACAGATTTTTTTTTTGAAAACATTATATTTTTTCACTTTGTAGATTTTTCTACCTTAATCAAACCTATCACACAAAAGTATAGCATGACTCCTTTCATTTACCTTTCCTTGATGTCTACTTGTTTTATACCAATTCTCTCATTCTTTCTAGTCCTAAAGGAAGAAGTGTGTGTGTGTGTGTGTGTGTGTGTGTGTGTGTGTGTGCGTGTGCGTGTGTGTGTGTGTGTGTGTGCGCGCGCGTGTGTGTGTGTGTGTGTGTGTGTGTGTGTTTCAAAGAAAGCAGGATTTATTGAGAAGACAGAAAAGCTCCCACAGTGGGAGGGGACCCGGAAGAGTTACCCAGAAATATGTGTCTTAATGTCTCCCCCCTAAAGCTGCCTGTTCCATAAGATTCATGGTCTTATTTCTCCAACTCCTGAAGACCCCTTTGTTTCAAATAATGTGCAGTGCTCCTTCCCATCTTAAAAAAGAAACTTCTTCATAGTCATATCTCCTTTTCCTAGTAACTATTTTTCTCATTCTACTAACAAATATTTCAAATTATCTGTGCCCAACACCTCTATTTTCTAACCATCTATTTTCCCTTTTAATCCCTGCAAACCCCCTTCACCATTCCACTCTATAGAAACTTGTAAGTCAAATATTGTCTACTTGTCAAATCTAGGGCATGCAACTTATCCTTGGTCCCAGCACCTCAGAACACTATCATGCTTTGGCTCTGTCACATGGATTTCCTCTAACCTCTCTTTCCACGTCTTTTCACCTTCCCCAGTGAACACTGGAAATCTGGTCACTAAACAACTGCTTTTCTTTCTATTAAGCATTTGGCTGCAAAGAATATATTTTGTAGCTTCAAATATTGATATCTCCTCCAGATATATGTTATCAACATGTTATGGAGAATCTAATTCATATGCAAACACACATCCTCATTTATTATTCTAAACAGACATCCCATCCCATATCTCATGATGCCTGCGGCAATCTGAAATGTTCTTATGTTCAACCAGTACAAACTTCCTTCCTCCCTCCTCAACAAGGTAACACAACCTCTTTTATTCTCCTAAATCCCCCACACTCTTATTCAAAACCTGACTCATATTTTCTCATCACCAAATCCTGCTAAGCCTTTCTCAGTCTCTCTCATGTTACTCTTCCATTCTAGCCCCGATGTCTCATCCAAAACTGCTCTGTAATGTAACAGTATACTAACTGCTATCCTTCCTTCAGTCCCTTTCTATTTTCATACACCCTATACTTCATTACCAGGGTAACAGTCCCAACACCATCACTCTTACCTTGACAATTCTTCTGCTCTAAAATCTTTAAGAGTTCTGAACTCCTCAGCCTGACTTGCTAGGCCATGCATAATCTGAACCCATAATCTGAATCTATCCTTTTATAACCATCTCCCACTTAATTGAGTCTTTATTAAAGCACAGACAACATTTCGTAGCCCCTAATAACCCTCTCATTCTAGATCAATCATGTTTAAGGCTAAGGAAATACAGGTAGTGTTCTTGGGACTAAAGAGATAGAATTCAGGATTTCCTACACATTCTAACTTCAAGGACAATCCAGCAGAAGCCAGAGATAAGTATTTGCCTTTAATTTATAAAAACAGTCTCCAATCCTGTTCATTCCTATCTCAAATGACCATACAGGTATTTAAAAGGATATTTATTATAGTGACAGATATTTATTAAGAATTTCCACTATTTGTAGCAGAAGGATTTTCTAGTCAGTCTATCGTACAAAACTCCACAAATTTTCTTTTAACGGAATTATCATTTTCCTTCCCAGAGCATTATTTTTTATCTTCTCTTCTGATAATTTTGGTAATTCCCAGAACATTATTGTCTTTCTCTTCTCCTGTATACCTCATATGAAATCAGTTGCCAAATCTTCTAGACTGAACATATTCATCTCATCCACTCCTTCAAGCATGCAACCAACATTATTACATGTAAAGTATGATCCCCATGCATTTTCGGACATGGAAGAGTCAAAGAGTAACATGAAGAAACCAGAGTCTAGTGAAAGATAAACATGGACAGAAGTAATTATGATACAATATCGGTGCTATAACACATGAACACTAACTAGAAGGACTATGGTTGATTAAATGATTAAGTTTGACCTGAACCTCGGGGCAAATGGCTCCTTACCAGGCTAAAAAGAAAGAGTAAACAGTCTAGGAAAAGAGAATAGCAAATACAAAACCCATACATGCACAAAAGGACATTTTCAAAGGACACCAAATTCTATAGGTTAGACCAGAATCTGGTGTTAACAGAAAAGGTATTGGGAGATGATGCCAAAAGAACTAGCAGCAAAAACCTTAACACAAAGCACAATAATAGATTTTAGACTAAGCTAATGATTCTCAAATTCTTTAGATACCCATTTAGGTGAGGTAAGAAAATAACAAAACAACAGAAACCTATACCTCCATTTTCACACTCCAGTGGGAAAAAACTGTGACAATAAAAAAAAATACTGTGTAAGAAAACTTTGACAGATTATGAACACTAACTCTAAAGAGCAGTATGAATGAACCATCTGAACTATAATGTATAATTATTTGAAAAAAAGCCAAAAATACTATTGATGTAAATATGCATCACTATTCACTCTACAGAATTATCCAAACAACCCATAACAAATTAAGTTGATAATGAAGCTAACCCAACAATTTATAATTAAAAAGATCAGCTGGGTACATTGGCTCACGCCTGTAATTCCAGCACGTTGAGAGGCAGATGCGAGAGGACTACCTGAGTCCACGGGTTCAAGACTAGCCTGGGAACATGACGAGACCTCATCTCTATAATAAATCAAAAAATTAGCTGGGTGTGGTGGTGCATGCCTGTAGTTTCAGCTACTTGGAAGGCTGAGGTGAAAGGATAGCCTGAGCACAGCAGGTCAAGGCTGTGGTGGCCATGAGCATCATGCCACTGCACTCCAGCCTAAGCGACATAGTGAGATTCCAATTTTAAAAAAAAGAAAGATCAGCAGCATTTTAAAATGATGACCTGCTTAAATCAACACTAATAAATCTAGCAATTTCTGCTATTCAAAGATTATGGTAGTACTGGATGGAATGAGAGCCTGGATTAAAACAGGAGCTTTGGCTATGGACTGGCAAAGTCAGTTATGAGATACATATTTAAATAGGTCTTAGTGGTGATCTATGCGTGAGTGGCTGAGAACAAGGAAGTGAGATAGTTGTGCTACTAAGACAGGAAATACAGAAAACGAAGGGGGTCTGAGGTGAGGTAAAGGTGATGAGTTCAGTGACTGCTGACAAATTTAAGTGTCTGTGGGCTATCTGAGTGGAAATTTCTGAACAAGTAGTTAGAAAACCATTCATCAATATCAGGCACTAGCTAGGTGCTGGGAATACTGAGATGACAGACAACACACTCTCCAACCTTACAGAAGCTCACACTCTACCTGGGAAGACGGACAAGCATACCATGCCTCAGAATGCAGTATAAGAAGCCCAGTGGAGGGAGAGCTGGGAGCTCTGGAATCACAGAGGAAGAATATCAACCCCACACTTCAGCAGTCAAAGTTGAGGAAAGGAGAGATAGAGATTTGCAGCCAAAACTCTAGGAGATCACCCAAACAGCAAAAGTTGAAAATTAAACACAAATTACAGGCAAAGTCAACACTTAAGAAGCCTAAAGAGAAACAGCAAAAGTCAGAAGGAATGATCAGAGAATTAGGAGAAGAATCAAGAAAGAAGCACTTTCAAGAAAGAGGAAGTGGTTAACAGCTTCATAAACACAGAAAAGTGTACAATAAGGACACACAGGGGTTTCACTATTACATTTAAGGTCACTGATGATTTTAATAATGGTAATTTCAATAGAATTTTCACACTCATTTCTCCCTTTCAACTTCTGTCATGCTAGTTCCAGCTCTCATTACCTCTTGCCTAAAATCCTAACTGATCTTCTTACTCTATCTTCTCCTCTCCCCAATCGATCAACCTAGACAACACGCTAATCAGCTTATATTTTAAATGTATGTAGTTTTTTGTTGTTGTTGTTGTTTTTACTGTTTTTTTTTTCACACTGTTGCCCAGGCTGAAGTGCAGTGGTGCGTTCATAGCTCATTGTAGCCTCAAACTCCTGGGTTCAAGCGATCCTGCCACCTCGGTGTTCCAAGTAGCTGGAAGCAGAGGCACACACCACTACGTCTAGGTCATTTTATTTTTGGTAAAGACAGGTGTGGAGCAGGTCTCACTTTGTTGCCCAGGCTGGTCTTGAACTCAGGGCATCAAGCATTCCTCCCACGTTACCGGTATTACAGGTGTGAGCCAGTGGGCCTGGCTCTAATCAGTCTTAAAATGCATTCACTTGCTCCAAAACCTTCACTGACCCAATACTACCTATCAGATTAAGCACACTGTCTACAACATGTATTTAGGGCTCTTCACAGAAGGGCTCCTCTACCGTGCCAATTATTTCTATTCCCCTTTTTATTCCATAAAATCAATAAAACAGTTTTATAGTTAACATTCCACCAATTACATATGGACAGTCAGCCATCTTTCCTTTTCTTAGGCAGAACCACCCTGGAAAGCTTCTTAGTTTGAAGGTACAGTTACATTTCACAAACACAAACATTACCAATCCCCATCTTAATTTTTAAGCTCCTTAACAACAAACAATTAGAAGATAAAATGGGGAGGAACCCACTTAAAACAGTAATAAAAATGACAATATACCCAGAAATGAACTTATATATATGACATATATGAAGAAAACTTTAAAACACTCTAGAAGTACTCAAAAGAAATCTTGAACATAGGAAGGCTTTCTGT